AGGGGGGCAGGTGAGCCCCTGGCCACAGAGAGGGGTGAGCTGTCCCCAGGGGCTCTGGGGACAAAGGCACTTGCAGCAGTCACAGGCGTTGAAGCTTTCTGCCATAAATATTTTAATGTGTCTTTTGTGTCCCTGCTTGGCACGGGGAGTGGCACACCAGCTGGAATTCCAAGGGATTCCATGGTTCACCCTGGTGCCCAGGTTAGTCCAGCACCTGCAGCAGGGTTCAGCACTGCCCTGGGTGCCAGTGTCACACACACAGAGCCATGGGCACCTGCAGCAGGGTTCAGCACTGCCCTGGGTGCCAGTCTGACACAGCCATGGGCACCTGCAGCAGGGTTCAGCACTGCCCTGGGTGCCAGTGTCACACACACACCATGGGCACCTGCAGCAGGGTTCAGCACTGCCCTGGGTGCCAGTGTCACAGATACACCATGGGCAGCTGCAGCAGGGTTCAGCACTGCCCTGGGTGCCAGTGTCACACACACACCATGGGCACCTGCAGCAGGGTTCAGCACTGCCCTGGGTGCCAGTCTGACACAGCCATGGGCACCTGCAGCAGGGTTCAGCAGGGTTCAGCACTGCCCTGGGTGCCAGTGTCACAGATACACCATGGGCACCTGCAGCAGGGTTCAGCAGGGTGTTCAGCAGGGTTCAGCACTGCCCTGGGTGCCAGTGTCACAGATACACCATGGGCACCTGCAGCAGGGCTCAGCACTGCCCTGGGTGCCAGTCTGACACAGCCATGGGCACCTGCAGCAGGTGCTGGCTGGGGGCTGCAGGGTCCTCCCTGCCCTTGGCATCAGGGTGCTCATGGCCCTTTGCCAGCCCTGCTGGCACTGCCTGTTCTGTCCCAGGTGGGCACCTGAAGCCGTTGGGGACACCATTTGCTCCTGGCTACCCCAGCGTTGGCTCTCACACCCAGGAAGCAGCCCCAGGAGCTTGGCTGTCTGTTCTCTGCCCCAGCCAGGCCCTGTAAGTCACCCTCTGAACAGAGCAGGCTCTGCTGGGAGCACAGGGAGCTGCTGAGTGCCACACGTGCCATGGGCTGGCTCCATCAGCCTCGTGCCACCTGCGTGTGCCAGCCCCTCCCAGGGCTGGATCCCATGGGTGCTGTGCAAACACCTGCTCTGCCTGTGCCCAGCAGGACAGTGTCCTGGGCAGGACAGACAGACAGCCCAGCAGGGACAGTGTCCTGTTCTGGGCAGGACAGACAGACACAGCCCAGCAGGGACAGTGTCCTGGGCAGGACAGACAGACACAGCCCAGCAGGGACAGTGTCCTGGGCAGGACAGACTGACACAGCCCAGCAGGGACAGTGTCCTGGGCAGGACAGACAGACACAGCCCAGCAGGGAGAGTGTCCTGGGCAGGACAGACTGACACAGCCCAGCAGGGACAGTGTCCTGGGCAGGACAGACTGACACAGCCCAGCAGGGAGAGTGTCCTGGGCAGGACAGACTGACACAGCCCAGCAGGGACAGTGTCCTGGGCAGGACAGACTGACACAGCCCAGCAGGGAGAGTGTCCTGGGCAGGACAGACTGACACAGCCCAGCAGGGAGAGTGTCCTAGGCAGGACAGACTGACACAGCCCAGCAGAGTGTCCTGGGCAGGACAGACAGACACAGCCCCGCAGGACAGTGTCCTGGGTAGGACAGACTGACACAGCCCAGCAGGGAGAGTGTCCTGGGGGCAGGACAGACAGACACAGCCCAGCAGGGAGAGTGTCCTGGGCAGGACAGACTGACACAGCCCAGCAGGGAGAGTGTCCTGGGGGCAGGACAGACAGACACAGCCCAGCAGGGAGAGTGTCCTGGGCAGGACAGACTGACACAGCCCAGCAGGACAGTGTCCTGGGCAGGACAGACTGACACAGCCCAGCAGGACAGTGTCCTGGGCAGGACAGACTGACACAGCCCAGCAGAGTGTCCTGGGGGCAGGACAGACTGACACAGCCCAGCAGGGACAGTGTCCTGGGCAGGACAGACAGACACAGCCCAGCAGGGACAGTGTCCTGGGGGCAGGACAGACAGACACAGCCCAGCAGAGACAGTGTCCTGGGCAGGACAGACAGACACAGCCCAGCAGAGTGTCCTGGGCAGGACAGACTGACACAGCCCAGCAGGGACAGTGTCCTGGGGGCAGGACAGACTGACACAGCCCAGCAGGGAGAGTGTCCTGGGTAGGACAGACAGACACAGCCCAGCAGGGAGAGTGTCCTGGGCAGGACAGACAGACACAGCCCAGCAGGGACAGTGTCCTGGGCAGGACAGACTGACACAGCCCAGCAGGGACAGTGTCCTGGGCAGGACAGACAGACACAGCCCAGCAGGGACAGTGTCCTGGGGGCAGGACAGACAGACACAGCCCAGCAGAGTGTCCTGGGCAGGACAGACAGACACAGCCCAGCAGGGAGAGTGTCCTGGGGGCAGGACAGGCTCTGCAGGGCTCCTGGCTGAGCCACTCTGGTTCCCTCAGGGGCTGCAGAGCCCCGAATTCCCCCTTTGTCTTTTCCCTGCTTGGCCTCATGCAGCCTCCAAAGCTCTGTACCAGGGCCACAATCTCCCCCTGCAAGGAGCCTCTGGATGCAATAACTGCAGCACTTTGTGAATGGCCATTTTAGAACTGTATAAAAGTGGCTCTCCACTGTTGTGACCATTTCCCACCCAGGTGCTGCTGCTGGCTTTCAGTCAGACCCTAAACCTGTGGGGACAGCAGTTTGTGAGGTGCTGTGTGGGGAGTTCAGGCTTGGTTTTGTAACAGCTGCTGGGCACAAAGGCTCCTTTTGGCTTGGAAAGAAATAAGTGGACTTTGCTGAAGCCCTGCCTTGTGCCCCTGTGCCAGGGCTGGCTGTGCTGCTCACAGGGCAGGGCCCTGGGCTCTTCTCTGTGCTGTAAATAAATAAAAATCCCCAGTTTGAACAGAGCATCAGCTGAAGCCTTGTTTGAGAGCCTTTGGTGCCTCCCTGCCTTCCTCTGCCCTTTCTGCAGAGATTAATATCAGAGGACAGAGGTCTGTGGAGGGTTAGAGCAGCACCCACCGAGTGCCTGGGGCACAGCAGCGCTCTGGGTTTGGTGCCAGCCCTGGATTTGCCCCAGTGTTTGCCCAGGAGGCTGGGCTCAGCGGGCAGCACAGGGGGTGCAGGGATGAGCTGCCCAGGGAGTGGCTCTGATCAAGCACAATCAGGCTGTTGTTGTGCCTGGCCTTGCCCAGGGGCAGCATCCTGCTCCTGTGTCCTGTTGGGCTGTCCCAGGGCATGGGCACAGGCTCCCCTGCCTCCCTTGGCAGGGTTCTCAGGGAGACCATGCCCTGTGGAACCCTCCAACCAAGAGATGTTTGCTTTCAAGGTGAGCCCCTTTCTGCAGCCTTTCCTGCCCAGCCTCAGTTGCTGGCCCATCCCTCTGGTGTCAGGGCAGAGCCCAACCCAGCCCAGCCTGGGGCTGTGCCTGCCCTGGGGGTCCCAGCACATCCAGCCCTGGCTGCTGCTGCTGCCTTTTGGGGCAGCCAGGGCTGGGCAGGGAGGGCTTGGGGGCCAGGCAGCCACAATGGTTTGTGACAAACACATGGGCACAGCATGGGCTTTTCTCTTGTGTTTGCAGTGGCACATGTTTGGTGTCATCTGGTTCATGTGTGGGAGCTCATTAGGTTGTTAAATGTGAATTTTATCAGTATGAAACCACTGACCTGGTGAAAAAAGGAATCCACAAATAGAGAAGAAATCTCTTGCTGCTGCTTGTCCTCAAGCTGGGTGAAGAGGTTGAATGAGAGACAAATATTTGAAATATCTTTGCAAGACAAACTTCTTCCTCACCAAGACCAATTCTAGGGCCTGTTAAAATCAAGAATGTTTCTGTAGATGCCAGTGGGACTGGGGCTCCATCCTCAACAAGCACAAATCCCATTTTTATCCACAGGAGGGGAACCCAGCAGTGTGTGTGTGCCTGGGAGCAGCCCTGGCTGGGGAATTTGGGAGGCACAGTGACCCCCAAACACATCTGGGCTGCAGCACCTGACAGCCAGAGCGGGCCTGAAAACCCTTCAGATAAAGGAGAAGTGACCAGAAAGCTTTTGAAAAAAGGGGAAATAGAATAAATATTGATTATACTGGAGTGTGCTGAAGTATGCAGCCTGTCTGATTTAAGGCAGCCAGAAGATTATTCCCTAGGACCAACTCTGGGAAATAATCAGTGTTTAAAATTTGATTATCAGAAAGCCCAAGGATTTTAATCTGCATAGATGTGCTTCAAAACATTTATTTGCAGGAACAAGGATGTTTGATTTTTAGCTGTCATTCCGTTTATAGATAATCCAGAAAAATGTCTGCCAGCTTTAAGCTCCTGTTGTGTTTAGTCAGTGTGGTCTTTGTTTCCTCTCCCAGGGAGAGGTGAAGTTGTGTGTGTTGTTCTGATGTGCTTCATTGCCTCTGAGACGATCCTGGTGCTAAATATGGCATTGAAACAGCTCTGCCATGGTTTAATTAGGAAGAACTCTAGTAACTGACCATAAGAACAGCAGCTCTGCAATGGCTGTGGCCCCGTGCCAGGTGGAAGCACAATTTCAGGGGGTTATTTGTGCAAAATTAGGGACTGGCACAGCCTGAAAGGGCAGCAGCCTTGGGTGCTGCAGCTCCCAGCAGAAACCTCAGCCCATTGCATTGCCAGGGCTGGGAGGCACTGGGGGACTTGGTAAAACAGGGAGAGGGATTGCTGACTCCAAAATATAAAAATTTACACTGGACATGGCCCACTGAGGGCAGTGCTCCCTTGGTGCATCCATGGAATACATTTGTTGCTGACTCGTGGCTTTCACCCTGTCAGAGTCATTAGAAATTAGAAATAACATCTCTAAGATCCACATATCCTTTATTACGCAATTTCATGTGTAGTTTAGGGAAGTTCGGGTTCCACCTTTGGATTAACTCATTGATAAATGTGTTTGCTTTGGATTTGTGCTTTATTTTGATTGCTGCTTTTCCCTTTCTCCAGAAACTGCAATACCCATCTGTGCAAAGGACATCAGTGATGATCTGATGAAAGAGTTTGCTTTTCTGTCTGGTGAGTACGAGAACATCTTCAGGGTCTCTCTCCCCCTGTGGTAATTAAACACTCCAGAGCAAGTTCTTTGCTGTTTGTCAGAGTGATACTTCCCACAGGCTGTTGGCCATCAGGTGGTATCCAGTGCCATAGAAATGCTGTTAATAAAACATGGAGGCACTTTGGAGAGCAGATCAGGTTTCTGTCCCGTGCCACTGTAAAATATTCTGACTCCCAGCACTCCATGCATTACAAGCACTTTGCTGTGAAATGCATTTCTGTAGGTTCCAGAGCAGTGTGTTGGTTTGCCCTTGTATTTCTGATTTCTTCTGCTGTGCTGTTTAAAGTTCACTCCGTGAGTAAAGGAAATGCCTGGTACTGGATGCATTTGTTTCCAGCACCTGCCCTCGTGTGTTGGACTCAGAGGCAGATTTGGCCTTGTTTGGCTCCTCTGGCGCTGTGAACCCCCTGTGCCAGGGGCAGGGAGCGCTCTGAGCAGCCCAGGGCAGCTTCCCTGTGTGTTTGCAGGTGGAAGGGGCAAGGACAAGGCCTGGATCATCACCCTGCCTGACAACGCTGGCTTCAACCAGGTGCCCGAGGAGAGCGTGGCCAGAGTCCTGAGCTACCTGACCTCAGTGCCCAGGTAGGAGCTGCTGGCAGCCCTGCCCTGGGGCGGGTGGGCAGGGGGGTCCTGCCTGCCCTGGGCAGGGCTCTGCAGGTGCAGCAGGGGAGGTGTTCTGAGTGCCAGCAACTGCAGGGCAAGGAGTGGGCATCATCCCTGTGACCTGTCAGCTGGGACGTACCACACATTTCCTTGATTAAGTTTCTAATTAGCAACAAGCTCTCCTCAAGCTTTGGCGTGTGTCACTGCTTAAATATACCATGCCACTGCAAAATAATATTTTGACGTGTACAAATGGAGAGTCATTGCTGTGGAAAAAGAGAAATGAAACCAGAGGGAGAGGCTAATTACAGAACAAAGCCTTTGGGGTCCCTGTGGCAGCTGATGGCTCAGCAGAGAGCAGCAGCTCCCATTGCCTGCCTGTGTGTCAGGGCTGAGCTGCTGACAGCCTGCCTGTGCCTCACACAGGGCTGTAGGCTTGGATTAATGACCCTCCTAATTCTGGCTGCTGAGCCTGTGACTCACTTACCTGGAATCCTTCATTTTCTTGAATAATGCCTGTTTTGGCAAATTCTGTCCTGCAGGGAGAGCAGGCTGACAGCAGCTGGATGGGAGCTTTCCATCAGCAGCTGCTTTGGAAGAAGTGTGGGGTGTTCAGGCACCTCTGTTCAAAATAAAAAAAAAAAAACCAAAACAAAACCAAAAGGAGCCTCTGGTTCCTCTGTCCTCTTTTTGATGGACTCTGAGGGTTCAGGGGCTCCTGGCCCAGCAGGAACAGGACCCAGCCCTGCTCTGTGCAGCTGCACTTCCCAGCTCTGGCTGCTTTCTCCAAGGCTTCTCATTACACCCTGGCATTAGCATGATGAGCAGTCCTGAGTCCCTGTAATAGGTCAGACTCAATCAAGAAACTAATGAGAGCTGCGAGCTTGCTGGTGATTCAAACACGTTCAGCATGTTTTTAGTAAAAGCACTTTAATCATCCTGCTCTGCTCCTCCTGCCCCGGTGTCTGATCAGCTCAGGAGCGTGTGCACCCCAGCACTTTGGGGCTGCAAGGCTCAGGGCACCAGGAAAGCATCACCTGGGTGAGGGTGGCAGGTTCTGTGCCAGCCCTGGGTACACATCCCCCAGCAGCATCACATCGTGGGGTTAGAGTCAGACCTTGGCCAGAAAGCCCCTAAAAGAGGGAGATGTTTCCTTGCTAGAGGTGCTTCACTTCCTCAGTTATCAGGGTTAGGTGGGTGCACCAACTCCTGCTTACCTGGATGTGCAGGGGCAGATGAAAACCACCCACTTGTGCCAAGGAGCTGCTTGGTGTCCTGCCTGTAGGGCCTGGGAACACCTCAGGGCTGTCAGCTTGGTGGTGTTTGGGCAAGCTGAGTGGTTTGGAGTATTTTGGGAAGCTGAATTTCACGAGGCACTCTTCTCCTGGAAATCATTGTTGGGTAAAGGAGGTGGATGCTGAGAGCTGCTCCTGAGTCCTCAAGGCAGGTGCATTTACAGCAGAGCCAGGAGCAAGGTGAGTCTGTAGGCAAGAGAACTTTTAGTGTTCCTGGGAACTGCTGCAGGCAGGAGGCAGCTGCAGGGAGTACTTGTGTGCATGAGCTGGAAGGGAAAATAAGGAATAGGTGCCCACTTTCTATTCTGTGCACATGCAGCTGAAAATGCTGCCTGCCTTCAGGCTGGCTGTGCTGAGCAGCAGCTGCAGGGGGCTGCTGGAGGCAGGGAGGTGACACATCTGTGTTTGCAGAACAGGGACCTGAGCAGTGGGAAAGCAGGGAGGTGTGCTTTACCCAGGCTTGGATTGAGCACTGTGACAGTGCAAATTACAGCAAATACAAATCTTTTCTCTAGCCTGAAGGAATTGATCTCTTCCAAGTTAAGCCAGAATTCCAATAGAAGCTGAAACAAAAATAAATCAGTTGAAGTCAGTTATGGTATCTGTAAGATTGTTACTACAGAAAACTGACTTAATTGCCATTAAAGTAAAACTTGAAAACCGAAAGAATCCCTGTGTGTGTAGCCTGGTGTGGTGTTACCTTCAGGCCTGTGTGCAGGGCTGGGTGCCCCATTGCAAAGGATGTGGAGCTGTGCAGAGGGACCAGGTGTGGCGAGAGGGCAGAAGGAATGAGAGCAGCTGCCCTGTGGAGGGGGAGGCTGCAGGGGATCCCTGCTCCTGGCCTTCCTGAGGATGTGCAGAGGAGGGTGCTGAGCTCTCCTCCTGGCGTCCAGGGCATGTGGGAATGGTCCAAAGCTGCCAGGGCAGCTTTAGAGCAGACATTGGGAAGCATTCATTTGCTGAGGGGGTGTCAAACACCAGAACAGTTTCCCTGGAGATGCCATTGATTCCCCAAGCTGTCAGCGTTCAGGGGGCATTTGGACAATGCCCTGAGCACATCTTCTAGCTTTGGTCAGCCTCAAGGGTCAGACATTTGGACAGGTTACCACTGTGGGTCCCTTCCTACTGCAGTGTCACCTCCTGTTCTGTCCTGTTCTGTTCTTCCTTTGACTCACAGCTGGTTGGAGTTTGCACAAGCTTTGCCTGTTTGCTGTGGGCTGGAGGTGAGCTGCAGAGTGGCTCAGGGCTGTGACACTGAGTGTGGCACACTGGAGGGTGCTGGTGCCTATAAATATCCCAGGATTCCAGCACTGGGCAGGTCCTGGTGCTCTGATCCCACCAGCAGCCAGGAGCCTCTGGGGGCTGTGCTCAGCCTCACAGCTGCAGACTCCAGGGTCCAATTTCAAGTCCTGCAAAACATCCCAGGCCTTTATTTTTAGTCTGGTGCATCAAAAAGTGACAAGAAACACCCAGAGAGAAGCAATCCTTGCCCTGGTTATCTGTCTCCATCTCCCTGCTGCTGGGTGCAAACAGAGAGCCCTCACAGCCCTGGTGGAAAGCACTCAGTTATTTTTATTGTCACTCTAAAAGGTACATCATGGGCCTGGAAATCTGACAAACGTGCAAGGCCTGGGTTGCAAATAGTCACAGAGTTTCTCCACTGGCCTACAGTGACCAATTTCTCACAGTAGGTGCCAAGGCTGTCAGAGTGCTGGGAGCTTCCCTCTGTTTCTGTAAGGGCACTGGTAAAAGTCCATTTTCTGTAGGGCACTGGTAAAAGTCCATTAGCATGCTCAGAGGTGCTCTCTGAGCATAACCTTGTCCTGAGCTAATGACTCCAGCTTTTCCTAACTGGCACTGCACTGCAGTCTGGCTGCCTTTTCTGCATTCTGGGGGTTGTACTCAGGTTTTAGTATGATTACAGCAGTTCTGTGTAAACACAGTTTATTTTTTTTTTCACTTGCAGGCCCTTAGGAAACACCAGGGAAGTTGGGAATTGTTCTTTATAGCTCAGAGACATAGCTTTTAAAATTCTAGAGTGTGCTGAAAAACCAAAGGGTTTTATTTTTGCCTCAAACCAAAGGATCCTTTGGCCTGCTCTGGGTCACTTAGCTCGTGGTGGGGAGGAACAGAGCTGACAGAAACCTGCAGAGTTGTCTCACATGGCCCAAACCATTCTAAGCAAATAAAGGTTTTGGCTGAAAAGCCAGACTCACCATGCTCACAGCCTCAGACTTTATTCCATGTGTTCTGTGTATGACCCATATGTAAAATTTGATGTTCATTTTCTCTGCTCTTTTCTTCTACACTTCAAAGCCACTGAATGAATTCAAACCTTTGCACTGTGGGAGTGAAGGTGCAGATCCATAGGATGTGGCACAGGGTGGCTTGGGAGCCTCTCCATGCCTTCAGTCAGCTTTTGTGATGAGTCAGAGGGAGTTGTAGTCCTCATCCCTCTGAGCACCACTGCTAATTCCTCCTAAATGTGTTTGTCAGAGCTGTAGCTGCACAGAGCAGAGCAGCAAGATGTGCACTGAATGAAGGCTCCTGCACTGCCTTCAAGTGACTTTTTTTCCTTTCCTGTAGCGAGTTGCCAAGTGTTGTCTGCCTTGTGATACCTCTGAGCAATCCCCCTGGGTTTGCCTTGCCAAACACAGGGATTAGCAGGGATGATGCTGGCACAGGGCTGTGCCAGGGCAGCCACCTGAGCCCTCTGGGGAGCCAGCAGTGTCCTGGGAGCCTCTCCCAGCAGCAGGGCAGGCTGCTGTGGGCATGGCTGTCCTGTGCCAGCATCCACAGGGTAAACACTGCAGCCATTGCCTGGCTGTGCTGTAAATACACTCCTGGAGAGGAGGAGGTTCCAGGCTGGCTGTGTGCAAGCACAGACAGAGCAGCTCCAGTTCAGCTGTGTGCTGCTCCCCAGCCTGCCAAGGGACATTTGAGTTACAGCCAGGGCAGCCTTGGGCCCTGCCAGAGCAGGCACCCCTGGTGCAGCTGCCTGGCCAGACTGGGCATCTCAGAGCAGCTCAGAGGCTTTGGGACTTACAGGGACTCAGGAGCCTGTGCTTGCTGAGTCAGCTGGGCAGTGCTGGAAAACTCCTTGGGGCAGTGGCAGTGGCCCTGCAGGACGGGCTGGGGGAGCCACCACAGCTCCCTGGCCCCTCTGCCAGGCTGCCACTGCCCTGCCCTGCCACCTTGGTGTCCCCTCTGCTGCCTCCTGCCCTCTTGGTGTCCCCTCTGCTGTCTCCTGCCCTGTTGGTGTCCCCTCTGCTGTCTGCTGCCCTGCCACCTTGGTGTCCCCTCTGCTGTCTCCTGCCCTGTTGGTGTCCCCTCTGCTGTCTCCTGCCCTGCCACCTTGGTGTCCCCTCTGCTGTCTGCTGCCCTCTTGGTGTCCCCTCTGCTGTCTCCTGCCCTATTGGTGTCCCCTCTGCTGTCTCCTGCCCTATTGGTGTCACCCCTCTGCTGTCTCCTGCCCTGTTGGTGTCCCCTCTGCTGTCTGCTGCCCTGTTGGTGTCCCCTCTGCTGTCTGCTGCCCTCTTGGTGTCCCCTCTGCTGTCTCCTGCCCTGCCACCTTGGTGTCCCCTCTGCTGCCTCCTGCCCTGTTGGTGTTCCCTCTGCTGTCTGCTGCCCTGTTGGTGTCCCCTCTGCTGTCTCCTGCCCTGTTGGTGTCCCCTCTGCTGTCTGCTGCCCTGTTGGTGTCCCCTCTGCTGTCTCCTGCCCTGTTGGTGTCCCCTCTGCTGTCTGCTGCCCAAACAAGGCAGGAGTCCCCACTTGGCTGCTCTAACCTGGGCAGGGAGGGCAGAGGGGTTTGGGCCATCAGCTGGGGGAGCCTCTGGCCAGGGCACAGCTCCTCTGCAGGCTCCTTCTCAAGGCCAGTTTGGGTTTCAAGAGCAATCTGCTGTCATCACCTCTCACAGAGCCACAGGTGATGCTGGACATGGGTAGCACAGTCAGAGGTGATGCTGGACATGGGTAGCACAGTCAGAGGTGATGCTAACCCTGGGTAGCACAATCAGAGGTGATGCTGAACATGGGTAGCACAGTCAGAGGTGATGCTGGACATGGGTAGCACAATCAGAGGTGATGCTGAACATGGGTAGCACAATCAGAGGTGATGCCTAACCCTGGGTAGCACAGTCAGAGGTGATGCTGAGCCTGGGTAGCACAATCAGAGGTGATACTGGACCTGGGTAGCACAGTCAGAGGTGATGCTGGACCCTGGGTAGCACAGTCAGAGGTGATGCTGGACATGGGTAGCACAGTCAGAGGTGATGCTGGACCTGGGTAGCACAGTCAGAGGTGATGCTGAGCCCTGGGTAGCACAGTCAGAGGTGATGCTGAACCCTGGGTAGCACAATCAGAGGTGATGCTGGACATGGGTAGCACAGTCAGAGGTGATGCTGGACATGGGCAGCACAGTCAGAGGTGATGCTGGGCCTGGGTAGCACAATCAGAGGTGATACTGGACCTGGGTAGCACAGTCAGAGGTGATGCTGGACCCTGGGTAGCACAGTCAGAGGTGATGCTGGACCTGGGTAGCACAGTCAGAGGTGATGCTGAGCCCTGGGTAGCACAGTCAGAGGTGATGCTGAACCCTGGGTAGCACAGTTAGAGGTGATGCTGGACATGGGTAGCACAGTCAGAGGTGATGCTGGACATGGGTAGCACAATCACAATCACAGGGGCTGAGCTGGGAGGGGAGCTGTGGAGATCACAGAGCCTGGGCTGGAAGGGATCTTAAAGGTGATCCAAGCCCCCAGGCAGAGCAGCCTCACCTGCAGCAGGTTGTGCTGGAATAGCTGGAGATGTGAAAAGCCCCAGGTGGGTTTTTAAAATATCCAGAGAAGGAGATTTCCCAATCTCTCCTGGCAGCATGTCCCAGGGCACTGTCACCCTCAGGAGAAAGACGTTTTTCCTCATATTCAGATGGAATTCCCTGTGGTTCAGTTTGTGCCTGTTGGCCCTTGTCCTGTTGCTAAGCTCCACTGGAAAGAGTTTGGGTGTTCAGGAAATTTTTTTCAAAGGGAATTTCAGGAACTGCAGAAATACTAAAATGTGGTTTGCACTCTGAGTTCTTGGATTTGGGTTTTTTTTGGGAACAGAGTCACTTTTCTTGGAACATTATCTGGTTACTGGTATTTTCTTATCTTGCAGTCAGCATGAGTCTGACACTAAATTTATCCTAATCCTGGACAGAAGACTGGACACCTGGACATCAGTCAAAACAACTCTCCAAAAAATAGCAGTAAGTCCTCTTTATTGTGGATTGCTTTTAGTGCACTGTCACCCTGCCTTTGTGTACCTCCTTCAGAAAACAGTGGGAACCAGATCAATGGTGCTGCTGCTTCCTCTCTAGGCAGCACTTTGCTTTATAGCCCTGTAATTAATTGCAGTGTGTAAATGAGCTGTTTGTGTGTTAATTTGCTTGCTTGATCCATTTCCTGGGGTTTATGCTCTTTTGCACTGGTTCAAATGTGTTTTGTGCCATGTTCTATGCTTTTGATGGGTGGAAAATTTTGCTCCATATATGTTCTTTCTTGACACTGGTTATTAGTTTATTTTACCTAATTGTTGGTGACTGAAAGTTTTAGGTTCTTTGAACAGGCTTCACAAGGATTTGTATGTGGGCATGGATGGAAAAATCTATTAAACGGTGTATGGATGCATTAATGTGTTTTAAATAATCTGGTATATGCATTAAGCATTGGCTGGCACCTGCTCTGAGCACAGCTCACAAGGGGGTTGTGCAATTCTGCATTGCTCTGTGTCTGGGAACCAGAGCCTGGATTTTCAGCAGAGCCTGCAGCTGTAGGGAAGTCACAGCTCTGGGTGCATGGGGAGGTGGGAGCTATCAGAGAAATCCTGTCCCAGCCACACCATGCCATGGGGTGGGTCAGGGGAGGTATTCTGGGTGTATTGTGGTTGTTGTGCTTGTTTCTGCTCGGTCATTGAGGGGTTAAAGACATTGGTCCATCTGAGGAAGGATGAAGGGAGTGTACTGAGACAGAAAATGCTTGCCTGGTTCTGATAAAGTTAGATTTATGGTATTTTAAATGGTTAATGCTGCTACAGCTGAACTTGGTGTTAAAAACACCTGGCTTTGCTGGCAGTTTGCTGTCAGCATCCCCAGGAGGCAGAGAGGGCTCCCTTTTTGCAGTGTGAATGAGATCCCACTAAGAGTATTCTTGGTTCTTATTTTTCTGAATGTTAGAATCTGAACTTGCAGGTGTGGTTACCATACCACTAGAGAAGGAGCAGCATTTAGAAAGTAGTTCTTTAAAGTGATCATCAAAATTCAGTTCTGCTGCCAGCGTTTGAACAGGTGCTAATACCAAGAGCATCCTTTAAGGATGAAGGACTTGCTTTGCATAGTCTGGAAGTGTCAAATGGGAAAAAATCCTGTCCTAATTTGTAGCTTCTACAGAAGTGTCATTCATTTTGTGTTTAATAAGAAAATGGAATTATTTGAGCAGGCACCCTGTTTGTGCCATGTGTCCATGTGGAGAGGTGACTTTGCCTGCAGGATCAGGGCTGTCCATGCAAAGACTGGGAGGTGCTCTGTGCAAAGAGGGATGCAGGAAACCTGTGTCCACTAAATCTTAAGACTTGGGAATATCATCTTAAAAACCAGTCAGGTCCTAAATGGCTGTGGCTGTGTCCAGGAGGTGTAAGGACAAAAATTTAAGTCTTGATTTTTTTCCCAGTCACGCATCATAAGCCCTGATGCAATTTTAAAAAAATCTTTTTCTGATCTTTGTACAATTTTGGAGTAAAGGAGTGCCATGAAGCTGAATTTAAATCACAGACTGTGTCCTATTTTTTCCAGCATATGTATATGCAAGTGCAGCTCTGCGGTTGTGCATCTGATCTTGAAAATTTTTCTATCACACTGCACAGATTTTTGTTTTAACTCTTTCTGTATGTCTCTAACTGCCTGGGCAGAGCAGGCTAGCAGTGCTGTGGGAGGTGATGCCGGGCAAGCCTCGGCTTTTGGCCGGAGCATCTTTCCTTGGTTCAGCCCCAGAACCCAGAGCAGCTGGAAAGGCACCTTGGAGACAGCGGCGGGGGGAAAGGGAAGGGTGAGAGCTCCGAGCTGGGAGCCCAATCCTCGCAGCAAAGAGCGGCTGCAGCATGATTTTTGGCATTCCACCTTAAAAGCAAAGCCGGCGCTGGGGAGGAGAGCGGGGCTGCCAGCCGGGAGCCGGCAGGGCTGCTGCCTGCCCGAACCGAGCCGAACCGAGCCGAACCGAGCGGCTGCGTGCCGGCCCCGGCAGCGGGGAGAGCCGGGCAGCGCCCCGCAGCATCCCCGCAGCATCTCCGCAGCATCCCCGCAGCATCCCTGCATCCCCTCCCCGCAGCATCCCCGCATCCCTGCGGGGCCATGGCGGAGGCGGGCCCGCGGCGGGGCGGGCGGCCCGCCCGGGATGCGGTAAGGCTCGGGCCCGCCGTGCTGCGGACAGCGGGACAGGGGGACAGGGGACAGGGAGACAGCGGGACAGCGGGACAGCGGGACACGGGGACAGCGGGACACGGGGACAGCGGGACAGGGGGACAGGGGACAGGGAGACAGCGGGACAGGGGGACCGCGGGACAGGGGGACACGGGGACAGCGGGACAGCGGGGGAGGCCGGGCAGCCGCTGCACTCGGCCCGCAGCGCTCGGGCTCCGGCCGCGCGGGGGGAGCCGGGGGCGGCATCCTCCGTGCGGGAGCGGCCGGCGCTGGGCACCGCTGGGTATCGCTGGTATTGCTGGGGGCTGCTGGTACTGCTGGGGGCCGCTGGCACCGCCGGGTATCACTGGGTACCGCTGGTATCGCTGGGTACCGCTGGTACCGCTGGGTATCGCTGGGTTCCCCGGGTATCAGTGGGTACCGCCGGTACCACCGGCTATCACCGGGTTCCCCGGGTACCGCCGGCCCCGCTGCCCGCAGCGCTGCTGCCCTGGCTCTCCGCCCGCAGGAACGGCTCTGTCATTGCTCCTCCAGGGCAGGAGAAGCCGCGGCACGGAGCGGCCCCGCACGGATCCGTGCCCGGTGGTGCTGACAGCATCCTCGGGTCAATCGTGCCGCCGGCTGCAGCAAAGGTAGCAGAGCGCTTGGGAGTTTGGCTCTGGCTCCGGGGGAAGTCAAAGGCTCGGATTAGCAGCACCTGGCATTTTGTTGCATGGCTTTTCCTTCAAGGGGCAGCAGAAAGTCATCAAGTTCAGTACCTGTATAAGGACTCCTGGACTCTGCAGAGCTCAGAAAGAAACTTACTGGCAGATAATACTTTGGGTTTAAAATTTATTTTTTTATATATTGATTTCCAGCCTCATGGATACCCCAGTGAACTGCAGGGGAGAACAGTGTCTGAAAACAGAGTTCCTGAAATGGGCGGAAATGTTGAAATACCACTAAATGTGTCAGAGTGAGACATCCAGTAATGAGGCAGTGACTGTGATCCTTTCAGTGCACGTCCTTTCTTGTGCTTTATTAGCCCAGTTTGTCTGTATTGATTAAATCAGGGCTCTCTGTTGGTTCTAGTTAAATGTGCATTTAAAAAGTTGCTGAAGTGGCCTGAAGGTGTCCGTGTCTGCCCTGGGAAGGAGGGATGTGTGAGCAGCCTGTGGTCAGTGGGACAGGTAACAGCAGTGCAGTGCTGCCAGCTGCCTGCTTTAGGGGGACTGTGCTGGGAGTTCTCTGCCTTTCCTGGTGAGCTGCAGAGGGCAGAGGCTTTAGAGGGTTCTTTAGGTGTTTTGTTACATAACCCCAGGTTTATCAAGTGCACAGGATTCTTTTTAGATTTACAAATGATAACGTAAAGCATGAGGCAATGTTAAATATCCTTTTGTCTTTGCTTTCTTTAATATATTGTGGGAAAGGGTCTTTTGCAGCAGTATTTTCAGTATCATTAGAGGTCAGTTTTTAGGAAACTTATCTACACTTCAGCTCTGAGAAAAACTAAAATTGTTACAATAACTAAAAAAATACAATCCTTACAGTAATGTTATATTGAGGAATTACTGGTCTATGTGGGGTTTTTTTCTCCTAACATTTCATCCTTTCCCTTAAGTCTCTAAGAGGGCACAGGACATGGTTTCTGGGTGTCTGTCTTTCTTACAAGCTTATTTCTTGTCATGTTCATTTTTTCCCATGCTTGGAATACATTAGGTGTCATTTGCAAAGCTGTGCTTCCTGTTTTGTAGCTACTCCTAAGTGCTGACCTTGATCCTGTATGTATAAGATCAGCTGAAAAATCCCCAGACGCTTTCTAAACTGAATGGAAATCCAATCATCTGCCCTGGAAACTCAGGGTGAAACTCAGGCATTTCACTTTTGAGGTGGAATACCAAGGAGCAGGAGGGATACAATGGTGTGTGTATGGCTGTCCCTGGGGTGCAGGAGGGCAGTGCTGGGGTGTCCTGGTGTGGGACACCTTGGCATCCTGCAGCAGAGGTGTCCTGCAGCCAGAGGTGTCCCTGGGGTGCAGGAGGGCAGTGCTGGGGTGTCCTGGTGTGGGACACCTTGGCATCCTGCAGCAGAGGTGTCCTGCAGCCAGAGGTGTCCCTGGAGTGGAGGGGGACAATGCTGTGTTCTCCTGGTCTGTGGTGTGGGACACCTTGGCATCCTGCAGCAGAGGTGTCCTGCAGCAGAGGTGTCCCTGGGGTGCAGGAGGGCAGTGCTGTGCTCTCCTGGTGTGTCCTGGTGTGGGACACCTTGGCATCCTGCAGCAGAGGTGTCCTGCAGCAGAGGGGTCCCTGGGGTGCAGGGGGACAATGCTGTGCTCTCCTGGTGTGGGACACCTTGGCATCCTGCAGCAGAGGGGTCCCTGGGGTGCAGGAGGGCAGTGCTGTGCTCTCCTGGTGTGTCTGTGGTGTGGGACACCTTGGCATCCTGCAGCAGAGGTGTCCTGCAGCCAGAAGTGTCCCTGGGGTGCAGGAGGGCAGTGCTGTGCTCTCCTGGTGTGGGACACCTTGGCATCCTGCAGCAGAGGTGTCCCTGGAGTGGAGGGGGACAGTGCTGTGCTCTCCTGGTGTGGGACACCTTGGCATCCTGCAGCAGAGGTGTCCCTGGGGCGAAGGGGGACAATGCTGTGCTCTCCTGGTGTGTCTGTGGTGTGGGACACCTTGGCATCCTGCAGCAGAGGTGTCCCTGGGGTGCAGGAGGACAGTGCTGTGCTCTCCTGGTGTGGAACACCTTGGCATCCTGCAGCAGAGGTGTCCCTGGGGTGCAGGAGGGCAGTGCTGTGCTCTCCTGGTGTGTCCTGGTGTGGGACACCTTGGCATCCTGCAGCAGAGGTGTCCAGGGCCATCCCTGCTCCCAGCCAGGCTCCTCCCTCTGGTCCCTGTGAGCTGGGTTTTCTCCTGCCTCTGCTCCCCTTTCCTGTCCTGCCCAGGGGCTCCTGGGGCTGACATTCAAAGCCTGCAGGTTTCCCATGGGGAGCTGGGTTTGGACACCCAGGTTTGGACACCCAGGCTGTTGCTCCAGGGAGATTGCTCTGCACCCAGAGGGTGCCTGTTCAACAGGACTTGAAGGAGTAGGGGAGGCTGAAGCTCCAAGGGCTGAAGGGCCAGGGGATGAAGGGAGTAATGATGTCAGGGTGAGGGAGGATGAACTTCTGTGCTCAAAGACATTCCTGCAGCGTTTTCCAGGGCAGGGCCAAGGTGGGAGCCCAGGGTTCACAGAGGAGGCGTTCGGTGCTGCCCAGGGCTGGAGCAGGAGCACAGCACCAGGGCCTGGAGCCAGCACCAATGTCCCTGTTATTTAATGGTTTGCTGTTGTTTCCAGTGCCAAGTCTTTGTCCCTGGCACCACTCTTGTTGACTTCCAAAGGGTATGAGTTTGCCATTTCATTCACAACTTTTTTTTTCTGCTCGTACTTAAAATAACAGCAGATCAATATATTGGATTTATGTGGCTTATATGATCCTAAAACTCACTGTCCATTTCTAAGGGAAGCTGTGGGCAGTGGAAGCCACAACCTGCCCCTTCCTACCCAGGAAAACAGAGCAAATGAGTGACAGTGCAGCTCAGGGTTGCCAGAGCTCGTGTAAATCCTGTTTCTAACAGCACTAATGCATGCTTGTGGGATGATCTTTGTTTTGAGGGCATGGATGAAGTGCCCTGCAGTGCCAAGTACCCAAACACGTTCATTATTCTCACCCTTGGCATAGAGGTTACTATCATGTTTCATGGAGGAGGATGCTATAAGGAGGAGAGAAATGTGACCTGGCCTGGCAGGATCTCAGAGCAAATATTGTCTTAATTAACTCAAGGCTTTGCATCACGTGCTTATCCATAATTTAATGATGCAACTTCTACTTTCTTAAAAATTCTTCTTCATTCTCAAGAACCCTTTTCACAGATCTATTTTAAAATGCACCTGCTAACCATATGCTTGAAAAAAGGCTCCGGCAGTGTAGACAGGAAATTCCAAATTCTTGCCACAAATTAAATGTTGCCTGGTAATTACCAAGGACAAGACGAGTGTGCTTCATGCAGTTATGGGATGATTAGCAAGTTTGGCAATAAATTTTGCTTCCTCAATCTGTCATTCCTCTCAATGTTCCAGCCCTCTGCTCCCTGCTAAGTTGTAATTTCATTCCCCAAGTTATAATGATGAACAGTATCTGCATTATTAAAGTTTATAACAAGTGTGCCTCTGAGGAGCAGGGCTGACCTCCTGCCTGCTCCAAGGGGAGGTGGGGCTGGACAGCCCTGCTGCAGTTCCATCCCATATCTCTGAACCACCCCCAGCATCTCCCTCCTGTTGTATTTGCGGGGTGCCCCAATGAAGGAAGGAAGGAATGATGAATCTGACTCCATGTTCTCAGAAGGCTAATTTATTATTTCATGGTACTATATTGTATTAAAGAATTCTATACTAAACTATAGTAAAGAATACAGGCAAGATACTTACAGAATGCTAAAAAGATAATAATGAAAACTCCTGACTCTCTCCCAACACAGCTTGGCACCAATTGGCCAAAGAGTGGAAACAACTCCCAGCAGAATCCAATGGAACAATCACCTGTGGGTAAACAATCCCCAAACACACACATTCCACATGAGCAAAACACAGGAGAAGCAAATGAGAGAATTATTGTTTTCCTTTTTCTCTGAGGCTTCTCAGCTTCCCAGGGGAAAAATCCTTGGCGAAGGGATTTTTCAGAAAACGTGAATGCCACACCCTCCTGTTTTGAAAATAAGAAAGCCCCCCTAAAACTGAACGATTCCCCTGCTTTCAGTGCGTTGGGAGCTGCTGCAGGAGCTGCCTCTGCCCAGGGTGGTGAATGCTGTCTGTGTTTCCTTGCAGGCATCCTTCCCAGGGAACCTGCACTTGGTGATGGTCCTGCGGCCCACGGGCTTCTTCCAGCGCACCTTCACCGACATCGGCTTCCGCTTCAGCCAGGAGGATTTCCTGCTCAAGTTACCGGTATGGAGCAGCCTGGGCACGGCTGTGTGTGCCCAGAGAGGCCTGGGCACTGCTGTGTGTGTGCCCAGAGCAGCCTGGGCATGGCTGTGTGTGCCCAGAGAGGCCTGGGCACTGCTGTGTGTGTGCTCAGAGCAGCCTGGGCATGGCTGTGTGTGCCCAGAGAGGCCTGGGCATTGCTGTGTGTGTGCTCAGAGAGGCCTTGGCATGGCTGTGTGTGTGCTCAGAGCAGCCTGGGCATGGCTGTGTGTGTGCTCGGAGCCTGGGCATGGTTGTGTTAAGCCATAAGTGTAAGAAGGAAGCCCTGCTCCAGAACAGGATGTAGAGCAGAGTTTGAGGTGCATCAGGGGTCGGTGTAGGGCAGGAGGGTGACCCAGGGCCCTGTGTGTGTGTGTGCAGGTGGTGATGCTGAGCTCAGGGGGTCAGTGTGGGGCAGGAGGGTGGCCCAGGGGTCACACAGGCCCTGTGTGTGTGCAGGTGGTGATGCTGAGCTCAGTCAGTAATGGGGCAGGAGGAGGGTGGCCCAGGGGTCACACAGGCCCTGTGTGTGTGCAGGTGGTGATGCTGAGCTCGGTCAGTGATGGGGTCAGTGTGGGGCAGGAGGGTGGCCCAGGGGTCACACAGGCCCTGTGTGTGTGCAGGTGGTGATGCTGAGCTCGGTCAGTGACCTGCTGACGTACATCGAGGAGCAGCAGCTGACCCCCGAGCTGGGGGGCACCCTGGAGTACTGCCACAGCGAGTGGGTCATCTTCAGGACGGTGAGTGGGGCTGGCCACGGGTGCTCAGCCAGCTGGGGCTCCCTGGGGAACGTCTGCAGTCAGGCACTGAGCACTGGGGGCTGAAAGGAGCCCCCAGAGCCACTGCACCTCCCAGATCACACGTGCACAGGAGCCAAGGGGTGCTAGGCTTTGATGGGTTTGCAGGATTGGCTCCCTCAGGCTCCTATTGAAACTGCTCCCAGAAGATCTGTCTTTAAAATCTTTATTAGAGTTCCCTTAATGGGAGATACCAAATAGGCTTTTTAATAATGGTTGCTTAATGTGATTAATATCAGAACTGTGTTTGGGAAGCAGGGTAATGAGACTGCCTACTGCATACTGACCAAATGCAGAGAATTCAGAGAATTTCCAGTTCGGTTTGTTCCTTTCCCTTTGCAAGAACTTTCATATTGCCAGGAATCAGGAGTTGTGCCTTGCTGTGTGTCCTTGTGCTTCCTGTGCACTCAGTTTCCCGGGGATGCTGTGTCCCAGGTGATGGCAGCTTGGGTTCCCAGTGGGATGTTCTCCCTGTGTGCCTGCACATCCCACCCAGCCGTGTCAGAGCTGTTGGGCTGCCCCAGCCCAGCCCAGCCCTGGCTCTTGGGGTGCCCCTGAGGAGCTGCAGGATGGTGGTGACCCCGGGCCGATTGCAGCCGCTGTGTCCCTGCAGGCCATAGAGAGCTTTGCCCTGACTGTGAAGGACATTGCCCAGATGTTGCAGTGCTTCGGCACGGAGCTGGCGGAGGCGGAGCTGCCCGAGGACATGTTCTGCATCGAGCGCCTGCTGGCCGTGCGCACCGAGAGGTACCTGCAGCTGAAGGTACGGCTCAGGGCACTGTCAGCTCGGGGTGTGGCACAGGGTATGGCACAGGGCACTGCCAGCTCGGGGTGTGGCACAGGGCACTGCCAGCTCGGGGTATGGCTCAGGGTATGGCACAGGGCACTGCCAGCTTGGGGTGTGGCACAGGGTATGGCTCAGGGCACTGCCAGCTCGGGGTATGGCTCAGGGTATGGCTCAGGGCACTGCCAGCTCGGGGTGTGGCACAGGGCACTGCCAGATCAGGGTATGGCACAGGGTATGGCACAGGGCACTGCCAGATCAGGGTATGGCACAGGGTATGGCACAGGGCACTGCCAGCTCGGGGTGTGGCACAGGGTATGGCTCAGGGTATGGCACAGGGTATGGCACAGGGTATGGCACAGGGCACTGCCAGCTCGGGGTGTGGCACAGGGTATGGCTCAGGGCACTGCCAGCTCGGGGTGTGGCACAGGGCACTGCCAGCTTGGGGTATGGCTCAGGGTATGGCACAGGGCACTGCCAGCTTGGGGTATGGCACAGGGCACTGCCAGCTCAGGGTATGGCTCAGGGTATGGCACAGGGCACTGCCAGCTCGGGGTATGGCTCAGACACGGGGTATGGCCCAGACAGGGGCACTGCCAGCTCAGGGTATGGCCCAGACAGGGGCACTGCCAGCTCAGGGTATGGCTCAGAGCTACTGCCAGCTCAGGGTATGGCTCAGCACAGCCCCAGGCACTGCCAGCTCAGGGTATGGCTCAGGGTATGGCTCAGGGGCACTGCCAGCTCAGGGTGTGGCTCAGGGGATTTGTGATTAATATTATCCTAGGGGTCAATGGAAGGTTCAGTGCAGCCAGCTGCTGCTTTATCAGCCTGTTGTCTTTGGTGCTCCTGCACCTTCCAGGGAGCAGCACAGGCCCCCAACCCTTCCTTCAGAAGCAATCACTGTGTTCATAGCTGTTCTGTGGGGCTGAAGAATGAGCTCCTTTGCTTTGTGACAGGTTTCATTTACCTGAGTCAAAGAATTGAATCTATTTTAATTTATAATCATTTGTCATTCATGTGACAGCAAGTTCCCAGAAAGATGCCTCTAAGAAATACTGAAAATATCATCCAAGTTGTGCTGTGTGTAGGCATAATACATGTGTGCATGTTTAGAAAGTATCATTATAGATACTGTCAATGGGCCTCCATCTCTTTGAAAATGAAGAGAGTAATATGAAATAGCAGCTACATGTATTGCAACATGACTCAGTGGCTTCAGCTTTGTGCTCAGGACTGTGGCCACAGTGCAGGGGGCAGATACCAGCTCCACAGGGTGGGTCACAGTGTAAAACCAGCCAGCAGTGCCCACTCTGTGGAGAAGTCAAACACATCACGTGTTTTCATTTGCGTAGAAAGCACAGCAGCACTCAGAACAAGCCATCTGTTGCTTTTAATTCCTCATCTATTAATTTCAAATATCAAAATCACTCATTGGCTTTTGCCTGAAGTGAGGTCTGCTGGCTTTTTTCTTTTGTTCCTTCTAAGACCATGAAACACAAAAGCAGATGAGAAACTGTGCACAGATTGTGGTGACAGCAAGACATGGGATCCGTGTCTCTCTCATGACAACCCCAGGACTGGTACAGTTGATTCCTGAATTCAAATACTCAATAAATCAGAATAATTTATGTAGCTGTGATGCTGCACAGAAACTGGCATCAAGCACAATGAAAAAATGACAGAAATTAATTAAACAGCCTAACCAAGAAATTAACCCCACTGATATACTGAACAGAAAAAGTCAAGTCACCACCTGTTTGACAGTCAGGCCACTTTGCTTTATGGATAATGAATGGCTTTGAATCAAAGGAGGACCATGGCTCTGTGCAGAGCGAGGGCTAAGAGGATAAATAACAGCCCCCTGCAGTCTGAAACACGCTGCAGCATTGCTCTGCTGAGTCTCCTGCCTGGGCAGTGTCAGGAGATGGGGTTTGCCTTGTGTTCATCCCCAGGGTGTTTCAGTGACAGGGCTGGCACTGCACACTGGGACAGGGGAGGCTCCTGCAGCTGTGTCCTGCTCCTGGGGCTGATGCTGTGTTTGGGCTGCTGTGAGCTCTCTGGGGCAGGCAGGCACTGAACCCACTCTGGGCTTTCTGAATCCTCTCCCTGAAGAGATTTTGCCATTGTTTCTCTTGCAGTAGAGACCTGGCCATCTCCTGGGAGGGCTCTCACCCTCCAGGGCCAGGCTCTGCAATGGAACCACAGACAGGTCACTCCTTCAGGGCCTCTGCCACCTCAGCTCCTCAGCCACATGTGTTTTCTCCCTCCTCACTTCTGTCTTTGGCCTCTTTGTCCTGAAAATAGTTGACTCAATGCACATGTTTGCTTTGGGGCTGAGCCCAGCCAGCACAGAGCACCTCAGCTGGTGCTGATGAGGACCCCAAGGGTTTAAATTTCCCCTAAGAGAGGTTGTATTGGGTGTGTTGGCTTCAGATGTAGGGGTTGTACTGAGTGCTGCTGTGTGGGCTCACAGCAAAGTCCTGGCTTTGTTCCTCCATGGGATGCTCCTCTTACAACCTCCTCTGCTGACCTTGATGGAGAAGCACAGCCTTCAAGCTGTGGAAAACACTGCTTGAAGACATGAACTTGTGGACAGGTGTCTCACACCAGCACCACTGCTCACCAGGAGAGAGCTGGGGCTGTGCTGGTCTCCTGAATCATTTTGTGACCTGCTGAATTCATGTGTGGCACTTTCCACCCAGCCTGGTGCCCTGTCCATGGCTCAGCCTCGTGCAGCTCCAGGGGCTAATTCCGTGTGAAGAGGACTGAGACATCTGCTGGGAGTGCTTTGGTCTGTTGGGTGTTGCTGCTTTGTTTCACACAGGGAAACTAAGGCAGGAGAAACACAAAGTGCCTCATCCTTACCTCACAATAAGCAGCCTGAACGAGAAATGTTTTGTGTTATACAGGAGGAGATCACGGCAGTCACAAAAGAGGGGAAGTTGCTTTTGAGCAGTTTTGAAGAGCCAGACTCAGGGGAATGCAGTCAGGACCAGCAGCAGGAGAGGCCTGGGGACTGGGAGACGGTGAATCGGTGAGTGCACTGTGTTCCTAAATCCCCTGATTTTCAGTGGAAACACTCAAATTACTGAGGCGTGGATGTGTTCTTTAGGTCACCTGTCAAAGACAAAGATACCAGAATTTTGCTCTATCAGGTTGCTGGGTGACTTCTCTCATGATGTTGACTTGCTCTGATCGTTGTCCCCACTGTTGTGATGAGGCTGTGGAGCACGTGCAGGGCTCTTCCCTGCCAGGCCCCCAGGTTTCACCCAGATAAATGGAGATAGTGACAACTGCTTCCCACAGATGTGTGATCACACTGCTCTGCAGTGCTGGTTTCATTAAATCTCTCCCTAGGATCATCTCAAGCCACGTGTATATGTCTGTTGACTTCTTCTGAGACCTTGGGTCCCTGTGTACGGGATCTCTGGGTCTTGTCCATCTCTGTCCCCTGTTTGCAAATTGTCCCAGTCTTGTCCTTTTTCTGTGCCCAAGGTTGCTTGGTCAGCTGCGTGAGATGGAGACTGCTTTTGATGGCTTCTGGGAAAAGCACCAGTTAAAAATGGAGCAATATTTACAACTCTGGAAGTTTGAGCAAAGTTTTCAAGAGGTAGGATCAGATGTGCTCCCATTGGCAGAAGGGAGAGGTGGAGATCTGTTGGATAGAAGTTCTTATGCTTTTTCTTTTGAGAGTGTTTAATTTATGCTGCTGTTCCTTGACTGTGGCAGGGCTGGCTAGCCTGGGGAGACGGCTGTGCTTCCTCCCTGAGAGCTAATTTAGGTACCACTGCCCTGCAGTCGCGTGGATTCTGCTGATGGAAGCATCTTTCAATTTACAAATTAGTTCTTGGACACTAGTTGTGTTATTGGATTTAGCAATCGTAGCTCAAGTGTGATTAATTTTGGGCTCAGACTGCTTTCCTGCCTGTGCTTTGTATCCTTTTACAGCAATTTTCTTCTCTGTGTCCAGGTCAAGAGTGCCATTGAATTTTTAATGGGGCAGCAGGCGGAGCTGCCCGACACCGGCGACAGCATCCCCCAGGTGAAGCAGAGGCTCAAGGAGCTGGAGCACTTGGATGGCCTGGCTCAGGTGAGGTGGCATAACATGGCTCAGGTGAGGTGGCCTTGCACAGAAGCAGCACCCACGAAACACAGGAGCCACACTCTGTATTTGTGGTAGGTCTTTGAAATCACCTGGCTCTGTACTTTGTTGGTGAGTGCTGCATGAAGGATTGATTTCATGTCTCTGCTCTGAGCAGCAAGGCTGTGATCACTCTGAAAGCCAGAAACAGGCTGTTTAATTATCAGAGTTAAAATAAATTGCTGAGCCACCGTGAAGATCCAGAACAGATAAATGTCTGAACATGGGGGAGGCGTGGGATTTAATGAGCTGGAAGAAGAATTATTTATATTTTAAGTGCTTTAGCTATGCTAATAGGCAGAAACTTGTTACCAGGCACATGGAGTTGCAAAAAAGTTGTATCCTGCCATGTCTGTGAGTTGAACATAACATATGGGTGAAGACTAAGAGATGTAGGGGAAACAAGAGTGAAGAGAAATTATTCACAGGAGCCCAGCTAAGGCTGTGACCTTTGCAAAGGGATGTGCTGGGCACCTGGGCCAGGGTCAGCAGAGAAATCCTGAGGGGTCTGGTCACAGAAGAGAAGAGTTTAGAGAAAGGTCTGAGGCTTGCTGGCCATTTGGAAGACATGTTTGTGGAGAGAGGGAGGAGGAGCAAAAAGCCAGGCAGGCAGGGAAGCCATCCCAGGGGAAAGCCATCCCAGTTCCTCCCAGCCCTGGAGTAAACCAGAACCAGTACACTGACTGGGGTGTGCAGAACAGCTCCTGTGTTCTTGGCATCAAGATAAACCTTAACTACTGCAATTCCCTTTGATGCCTGGAGCACGGTGGGCCTGCACTGGAATCAGCTGAGTGTATTCAGGGTGTGGCTCCTGGAGGGGCAGAGATGCACTGACTGCAGGCACTCATTGCCCTGCTGCTTTGGTGAAATATTGTTTTCTGCTTCATCCTCTGTATGGATAGGAAGGTTTTCTCCCCAGATGGTGGGTACCATTTTCTGCTGTGTAAGCCACCCCTGCTGGCTACTCCTGATGGCAGCCATCCCCAAGAGTGGCTGTGTTTCAGTAACTTCTTTGAGCTGGGTCTAATAAGCTGTTGGAGGCCTATAACACACCCAGATAGCTCAGCTACCCTTGGAGGCATAAAAATCAGCAGGATGGCTTCTGTTGCAGTGTTGGAAACAAAAAGGTTTAATAAAAGGCAAAATAACAAACAGAAATACCGAGCCAGGTGCAAGAGGTCCCTGCTCCTGGTGAAACACTTCACAAAATCCATTAGTTTCTTTGTTCTATTCTTTTCCTACTTAATTGCCTGGGTGGGACTTTTTGGCTTCTGTCCAATTAGCTATCCTTACCTTTGAGGTGAGGACCCCCAGGTCCTATGAGGTGTCTTTTCACTGAATAGAGGAGAGAAACTTGTGGGCTTATTTCCTTTTTAGGGGACAAAGGGTAATTTTGTCACTCTCAGCAAAGAGCTCAGTCCTACGTGGCTGAGCCCTGGTGAGCTGGGAGGGCACTCTGGTGTGTGTGGGCACTCTGGCACCGTTTCTGCGTGTGTGCCAGCCTGGGCTCTCCCCTTCCTGCAGGAGCTGATAGGGAAGGCTCAGGTGGTGATCCTGCACGGGCACCAGCTGGCAGCCAACCACCACTACGCCCTGAACCTGATCTGCCAGCAGTGCAACGAGCTGCGGCACCACTGCGACCTCCTGGCTGAGCACGGCAAGAGGAAGCAGCTGCGCCTGCAGAGGACCCTGGAGCTCCACGGCCGCCTTCAGCAGGTACCGCTCAGACACGCAGGGCTCTGAGGAGATGCTTGGTGAGCTCCTCCATGGGGCTGGCCTCTCCTCTTGGCTGGAAGCATCTGGAGTCTGCAGCTCTTCCTCACAGTTAATGGCAGGGAGGTGTCCCCAGAGGCTGGGGGAGCCCCTTGGCTGGGAAGTCAGCACGCAGGTATCTGCTGCTGCTGCTGTCAGGGCAGCAGAAGGAGGTGGGCATCTCCACAGAGCACCAAGCTCAGCTGCTGCTCTCGGTGGTGCTTTCATGCTACATCCATGAATTCACTGACTTTGGAGGTTTTCCTGCCCAGTGACAGAGGTGATGCTCTCACATAAACTCCTGCCCCTTTTTCTGAGGGGTTTATTAAGAATGAACATGGCTGAGTGTGAAATGAGGTGACAGATTGGTAGATAGGCACAGCTGCTGTGTGCTAGCATGGAAGTGGAGTCATGTGGCTCCAACGCTCTTTGATATCTTAATCAGCATCAAATATTCATTTAGGGAAATTCACACTAATTAGGCCAGAAGGCACACGGCTGTAATGTGCTTGAGGCCAATTAAGAGAAACAGTGAATTTTGACCCTGTTCCATTTCCCTGTTTCGGGGAACTGGGGAGCTCCTTTTTCCTCTCTGTGTGCTCCACTTCAGCACTGTGCTGATCTGTGGGACACAGTTCCTCAGCCTGCAGGACAGGGGCCTCTCCTGGGCTCCTTGCAGGCCTGGCTGGTGCCTGGGGTCTGGCTTGGGGCTGTGCTGGAGCACAGCATGGTCCTGCTCTCCATGTCTCCTGTCCCATTCACAGCACTGGAAATTCTCTGTTGTTCTTGGCTGGAGCATCCTCTTACCCCTGAGCGTGTGAGTGCCAGTATCACACACACACACCACAGTGTGCCAGTGAGCCCCAGTCCAGGTCTGCATGAGCCTCAGAAACCTGCCAGCCTCCCTGTAGGCTGCAAAGTGCCCACTTCAGCTTTCCCAGCTGGAGAGAGAAACACCTGCTTATCCCTGTGCCCCATGTCAGGCACAGCTGAGGGCTGCAGCCACCTTACAGACAAAGTGTGGCTTTGTGCTTTCTGCTGAAACACCAGTAAGTGCTGAGCCCTTGGGGATGCTGCTGGCTGCACCCAGGGCCAGTCAGTGATATTCTCATGAGGGCCTGTGCCAGTGGGGGTTCCTGGAGGCTCTCACTCCCTGTGCTGTCCCCAGGCTCTGCAGTGCTGTGATGAAGGTGCCTACCTGCTTGCCAACCAGCAGATGGACAAGTGCCAGTCTAAAGAAGGTGCTCAGAAAGCACTCCAGGACATAGAAAGATTTCTTGAAAGCTCTTCATCCTACTTGAACTATGATCCCCAAGCCCTGCAGGACGATTTTGAGTCGGTTTTGACACCTGAGCTGAAGGTAAGCAGTTCCCCAGTGAGGAGTGAGGAGCAGGGCTGGGGTGTGTGACAGTGCTGGCAGCCTGGCAGCCCTGTGCCAGCTCAGGGTAAGCTGGTGCTGACTGTGTCTCTCCTGGCTCTCTGCTGTGTGTCAGGGTGAGCTGGTGCTGACTGTGGCTCCCTTGGCTCTCTGCTGTGTGTCAGGGTGAGCTGGTGCTGACTGTGGCTCCCTTGGCTCTCTGCTGTGTGTCAGGGTGAGCTGGTGCTGACTGTGGCTCTCCCTTTGGCTCTCTGCTGTGTGTCAGGGTGAGCTGGTGCTGACTGTGTCTCTCCTGGCTCTCTGCTGTGTGTCAGGGTGAGCTGGTGCTGACTGTGTCTCCCTTGGCTCTCTGCTGTGTGTCAGGGTGAGCTGGTGCTGACTGTGTCTCTCCTGGCTCTCTGCTCTGTGTCAGGGTGAGCTGGTGCTGACTGTGTCTCTCCTGGGTCTCTGCTCTGTGTCAGGGTGAGCTGGTGCTGACTGTGTCTCTCCTGGCTCTCTGCAGGGCCAGGTGCAGGTGGTGCAGGGGAAGCTGGTGATGGGTCAGGGTGAGCTGGTGCTGACTGTGTCTCTCCTGGCTCTCTGCTCTGTGTCAGGGTGAGCTGGTGCTGACTGTGGCTCCCGTGGCTCTCTGCAGGGCCAGGTGCAGGCGCTGCAGGTGAAGCTGGTGATGGGTCAGGGTGAGCTGGTGCTGACTGTGGCTCTCCTGGCTCTCTGCTGTGTGTCAGGGTGAGCTGGTGCTGACTGTGGCTCTCCCTTGGCTCTCTTCTCTGTGTCAGGGTGAGCTGGTGCTGACTGTGGCTCTCCTGGCTCTCTGCTCTGTGTCAGGGTGAGCAGGTGCTGACTGTGGCTCTCCCTTGGCTCTCTGCTGTGTGTCAGGGTGAGCTGGTGCTGACTGTGTCTCCCTTGGCTCTCTGCAGGGCCAGGTGCAGGTGAAGCTGGTGATGGGTCAGGGTGAGCTGGTGCTGACTGTGTCTCTCCTGGCTCTCTGCTGTGTGTCAGGGTGAGCAGGTGCTGACTGTGCCTCTCCTGGCTCTCTGCAGGGCCAGGTGCAGGCGCTGCAGGGGAAGCTGGTGATGGGTCAGGGTGAGCAGGTGCTGACTGTGCCTCTCCTGGCTCTCTGCAGGGCCAGGTGCAGGCGCTGCAGGGGAAGCTGGACAGCGTGCGCAGCATGTTCGAGAGCAGGCAGTGCTGCTTCAGGAGGCTGCTGGACAAGCACGTGAGGCCCGTGCAGCTCGTGGCTCCTCGGCCAGAGACCCCACCCCGGGCCAAGTCACCCCTGTTCTCTCCTAAGCACGGTAAAACGTCCTGCACTTATGGATTTCCAGCTGGTAACTTTGCTGTGAGGCCTAGGATGGTTTTGAGAGGCTAACTAAACCTTGCTGGCAGAGAAAGAGTTATTGGAGAGTGTTAAATACATATCAGGGAATTTATGAACTTCCCAGTGTTTGTGCTCCCATACCTGTGTGAAGGATGAAGTCGGTTCCTTGTTATTTATTTCCAGTTCCCACTCAGTGAAAAAAGAGCTGTAAGTAGTGCACACCTCCAGTTACTGGCATTCTGCTGGGCTGGAAACTGGGAAAAAAGAGCAAGGTTTATCAATTTCTTGGCTTGCCTGTTCTCTGGGGCTGTCTCGAGCTGGAACTGACACCAGGTTAGAGTGATGTTTGCAAAGGAGCTTGGAGAAATGAGCAGCTCAAATCTCATGAGCAGAAATGAGCTGGATGCTTAACTCCTTTTGATTCCTTCAGGGTGTCTTCCCTAAATCCCAATTGTGGAATAATTATGCCCATAAAGTTACAAAATTCTCATTGAACTGAGGTCACTGAATGTTCTGCCTTGGTTTTGGTAATGGGATGTGGCACCATGTTAGCTTTAAATGATAACATTAAAACTTTCATCCCTGGTAGCCCTGAGTGTAGCAGGCAGAATTAAAAGAGATTCCAAAGAAACATCCATGTATTTTCAACCAGGGACTTGCTAAATTATGTCAGAATATTAAATTCAGTGATCTGACTACATAAAAGCAATTAAACATTTGTGTTTTAACACAAGGGTTTTATGATGAATTAACAAATAATGGTTATGGTGAGTTGTAGCAGGTGTCATACAGCAGCAAAAGCAGCTTCAGTTCAGAGAATGAGACATGGAAATAGCCAAGTGAGGGCTGGGAATGAAGCTGGATGCAGTGAGGGAAATGAAGCCCCTCAAGATGCAGGCCAGTGCAGTGAATAAATCCCAGATTTCCTGTTTGCAGGCTGATGCCACCCTCTCCAAAGCACATCACCCTCTGAAGCCCTTTCCTCCATCAGTAAAAGCTCTGAGTCTCCGGACTAGAGCATTCCCCATTTCACCCAGCACAGCTCTGCCAGCTTTCTAGAAAGAGGAAAGGGCCAAAGACAAATTATTGACCTAAGGAGTGGGTGAGTGGGTGGCCAGCTCTGTGGCTGTTGTGAGAGCACCATCCCTCAGCTGAACTTTTTCCATGCCTTTGTGGGACACGGGTGTTTCTGCAGAGGCACCAGTCACCTGCAAAGCACAGGTGTGCTGCATTAATCCTGCTCCTGGAGCAGGGCTCAAGGGTGCCAAAGACAAAAGGCTCCTCTTTGGAGACATCATGACAAGAGAGCTTTTGAATCGAGTCTGTTTGATAGCAAACATCAAACTGCTGCAGGGCTGATGGGCACTGAGCTGTGCTGGCAGTGCTTTGGCATGGATGTGTTTTATGGTGGGGCTGGAAACCAAACCAGCTCTGAGCACATCATTTTGTCTCTGTTCCTTTCTTCCTTATGTTTCTATGCCCCATTCCCCCCTCTGTCTCTGTCTGAGGACAGATGCTTCCTCTTTTATCTTTGCCCTGGGTTTGACGCCTGTCTGAGAAATGTGGTTCTAATTTTTGAACCATTTTTTTGGGGGGTGGGGAGAAGGGAAGGGTAAATCTGTCCCCCCTGAGCCCTCAGGTGTAGTGGGATGTGCAGAAGTGGCACTGAGAGCAGAGTCCCTCTTGCAGGAGGAGCTGGTGCCCATGTCCCATCCCAAATCCCTTCCTGCCAGGGCAGTGCCAGGGCAGTGCCACAGGGCAGTCTCTGAGCAGGACCTCTGGCAAGTCCTCCCCTCCTTTGGGTGCTCCCAGGTGTGGTGGGGCAGCTGGGCTCTGTGTGCAGCAGGCAGAGCTCTCAGGTGACGCCTGCAAGGCCAGGCTGTGCTCCCCTCCCTGCAGGCTGCCCCCAGAGCCCCTCCAGCATCTCCAGGTTTCCTTACAGAGTGTTTGAATGATGCCACACAGCTCACTGCAGAGACTGATGCTTTATTTTTGAGCTTCCAGTTTACCTCTGTAGCTCGATTGCAACTTGCAATTATTTACTCACAGTATCAATGCATTTGTGCAAGATGGAGAAGCAGTTTATTACAGCTGAGCATCTTGCCCTGTGTTCACCAAAGGACTTTAAAACAGTGTCCTGGCAGGGGGTGTTCTTTTTTGTAGTTTATTTGCTTTTATTGTTTTTGCTGTTATCATATGCTCAGGCTCCAGAGACTTTGTTAGGTTTTGATTACTGTGTTCCCTTAGTGAGCATTTTGTTTTTCCTAAATATTTGTACTTTATGACCGTGGGCTGTGCTATGTGGAATCAGTATTGTTTGGGATAAATACCCTTTATTTTGTCAGTCTGCTATTAGTACTAGCTAACTAATTATTTATTCTTAAAGTGTGTCCCCTTTTTCTTCCTGACTTCTTCCTTTCTGTCTGAGGAATCCCCTTCACCATAGATATACATTATGTAATTCTGCTTTCTTCTATCCAAGGTGTAGATTTTAATTCCAGTTTGAAATTTTCATTTGATCTCTCTCTCCCTGGGAAGAAAACTTCAAGAAAAACTCCAAGTTCTCGCAAGGTAAAAATTATTCATGGAATCTGAGTTAGTTTTATGGAAAAAGTGAAACTGCTCTAGAGATTGAGTGTACTTTGGATTTGGAGGTGCCCTCTTTATTTTCTTTTTTTCTTTTTCCTTTTAAAAAACTTAAGCAAACCCAAACTGTCTTGGATGCCTGTGGTTTAGTTGGATTAGTCCAACACCTGAGCTCTGGCCTGACTGATTTTACAATATCTGGGTACCTATTTCCTGTGTGTTGTCCCCTGAAGTTATTTCTTACATAAGAGAGGTGTGCATTAGGAAATATCCCCATGCATAGATACTTCCCCTGTGGGAACTGTTCCCTGGCCTCCTCACTAATGACTTATGTTCCCAGTATTTCAGATTCATGTAGCAGAGTAATTGCTGGGAATTTTTTGCTCCCCATTACGTTGTTCCCTTCTGAGGTTTGCTGCCCAGGGGTTTCTATAAGGAAGCACCTTTCATCCTTCCCCAGGGAGCTGCAGCAGGGCTGGGCTCCTGCTGCCCCTGCAGGCCCTGCTGCAGCTCTGAGCTCTGCCCAGTGCATCCCTTTCCCCTTGGGTTTTTCCCTTTTTTCCTTTCCCTTTTCCCCCCAGATCGAGGTCATGCACGACTACCAGGAGAAGAGGAATTCCTTGCAGTACTTCATTTCAGACAGTGAGGACAGCTTGGATGTGCTGAAAGGGTGAGCACTCGGCCCCTTCACACCACCTAAAGGATGTTTGTTTCTGCCCAATCCTTGCCCCATCCCTGTGTTCCTGCAGCCTGACCCAGGAGTCCTCTCCTGTGCTTTTACCTCTTGGTTATTAACGGGATCACACAATGGTTTGGGCTCCTTGAACTGCACTCATCACTTCTCATAGACACTCAATAATATACTTCTATTTTTTTCTTCATTTTAGGCATGTGATAAACGAGCTTATAGAAACAGAGAGGGTGTATGTGGAGGAGCTGTTCACTGTTCTGACGGTGAGTGAGCTCTGCAGGTTCCCATTGCTGTTCCCTGGTGACTTGTGCAGAAGGGCACCTGCCACTGACAGGGCAGCCTTCCACCAGTCTCACAGATCCCAATCCAGTCATAAATGCCTAAGGTTGCTCCTTAGGTTTTCTTTGCTGGAGGCATCTGCAGGAACAGTTGGTGTCAGGATGAGCTTTTCATCTGCAGTGAAGGAGAACCCTTGTGTTTGTACACAAAAGCACTGGTAATTAGCCTCAGCAGTGCCTGTAAAATATACAAAAAGCTGTTTCTCTTGACTGTTCCCTAATTTCCTTTACCTTTAGGAGACAAAAGGAAGCAGATTGTGTTTTATCCTTGGAGAATCCTGTCTCAATACTGTGAAATGGTGACTGTATGAAGCACATTGCTTTAGAAAGCAGATCATGATTTCTCATGCTGTCGTTTTAGACATTACTACTTTATTCCAAAATAACTCTTGCTGATGGCCAAAACAGGGAATAAAAGGGATATTGCACTTAGGAACAGGGAGATCATATTGAAAGTCTGTTCATGTTCCCTTTTCACCTGCCTTTGGGGAGATGGCAGCTAAGTGGGAGCCCTTTTCACTGGCAGGGCTACAGAGCAGAGATGGATAACCCTGCCATGCTGATCCTGCTGCCCCCCGTGCTGAGGAACAGGAAGGATGTTCTCTTTGGAAACATGCCCGAGATCTACGACTTCCACAACAAGTATGGGGCTGCTCCCCTCCCTCCCTCCCTCCCTCCAGGCTGATCCCTGCTGGGACCCCCAGAGCTCTCCCTGCTCACTGCTGCTTCTTGTCCCTTCTCCCATCTCTTGCAGGATTTTCCTGCACAGTCTGGAAAGCTGCCTGGGAGCGCCCGAGAGAGTGGGATGTTGTTTCCTAGACAGGGTGGGTGAATCCTTGTCACTTCAAAGCAGACTCCCAGGCCAGGCTTTCTCCTGGCTGTCACACTCTGCAACAGCTCAGTTACGTTGGTGGGGTGAGAGGCTCCTGGCCCTCAGCACCAGCAGCCAGGCCAGCAGAGATGGCAGAGCCCCAGCTGTGACCCCAGCTGTGCTTTTTCCACCCAGACTGTCACTTGCAGACACCAAAGCTGGCAGCAGAGGTGAAAGCACACACGGTCTGGGTGCTGGCCTGGCAGCATTGGTCCCTGAGGGTGACCTGCCCCTGGCTTGCCTTGCAGAGGGAGGATTTCCAGATGTATGAGAAGTACTGCCAGAACAAGCCCCGCTCCGAGTCCCTGTGGAGGCAGTGCTCCGAGAGCTCCTTCTTCCAGGTGAGCTGCTCCCACCCCCTGGGGCACTGCCTTGTCCTGGCAGCCTCCTCACAGCCCACAGTGCTGCAGAATGCTCACAAAATGCTCACAAAAGGAGATGCTGGTGCTTCTCGTACCCCAGGAGTACAGGGCAGACCCACAGGTTAATTTGCATGTAATTATCGTATTTCTTTAGATGTTGGTACCATTCAATGCCTGGACATGAAACCTTTGGAGTCATCAAACCCCACAGCTGTGCTGTTGCAATATCTGCTTGCAGATGGTGCAGAACTGACTTGGTCTGATTGTGTGTTGCAGGAGTGCCAAAGGAAATTGGAGCACAAGCTGGGGCTGGACTCCTACCTGCTCAAACCCGTGCAGCGCCTGACCAAGTACCAGCTCCTGCTGAAGGTATGCCACGTTCTGCTTCCCAGGGCCATCAGCAGAGAGGGGACATGAAAACATCTCCTGTTTTTCAATTAGAGGTGACCTGTAAATCAGCATCAAGCTTTGGGTGACATACTGCTTGTCTGGGCCTCTCCTGGACTGCCTTTCAGTGCAGATGAATGTTCACATACCTGGAAAAGGAACAGGGGCTTGTGACAGGCTGTTCTTAAGGAGAGCAAGACTTTGAATCTGTTCAGAGATGCAGAACTACAGAAGTACTTGTGAGAAAACCGAGCCAGAGATGATCATGAAGATCTGATGAATGAAATAAATTGTTGCATCTCTTTTCCATGGGTGTTGATAGCACCTGTAAACTTTAATGCATTTATTCTTGTGGATAAATCTTGTGCATTTATTGTTCCCATCTGAGGCAGGGCAGTGCAGTTATTCTCACTGTGTAAGGCAGGAGTTACACTTGGGTAGTAGCTTCTGAACCTCCTTCCAGCCTCCTGAATGAGTATACATGCAGCTGTAGGTGGGCACAGGAGATCTGAAATGGAACCAATTTCATCTCAGTGGTAAAATTCTGTCCTCCATTCACTGACCTGAAGGCTCTGGGTTTTATAAATTCTGTTCCTTGTGCCTGCCAGTCTGAAGACAGGCATCTGCTGCAAGCTGCTTTGAGGGCATGTTGGCTCTGATGAAAACCCCAGCCTCATTTGTCATATCTTACCAAGCAGGAAAACACAGCACAAAGGAATCAGAATGTGGTGCTGCTCTGTGCTGACTCCATCCTTAAGGAAACATTAAAAATAGGCCATCCCTCCCTGGCCTGTCCCCACCACATACTGACTGTGCTTCAGAGAGAGCCCTTTTTCCAGGGACATGAGAAAAGAAACTCAGTGTGGGTCACTTCTGGGCATTGGACACTTCGGGCAAGGTGGAAAAATCTGCTTTGTTCAAGTGCAAACATGTGCTCTCCCATTTCTATTTTCAGGAGCTGCTAAAGTACAGCACGAGCTGTGATGGAGTTCAGGAACTTCAAGAAGCTCTGGTTGCAATGCTGGATTTGCTGAAGTCAGTCAATGACTCCATGCATCAGATTTCAATCACAGGATATGATGTGAGTAGCTCTGGGCACGGAGAGCCCTGGCACAGGGCTGGGGATGCTCTGGGCATGGGTTAGGGTGTGCAGAGTGTGAGAGCTGGCCCAGAGGAGAGCCTGTGCAGGGGTTTGGGATCAGGAGCCCTCACAGGTGACAGTCTCCATCTGATTTCAGGGTTTGGGATATCCTGAGCCCACACTTTGCCACCTTGTGGTTTTCTGGAGTATTTTTCCAGTGTGACCCTCTGTGTTCTCATGGCTGACCTAGTAGCTCTCCTGGGCTGTTTCTGTAGCATTTCCCATTCAACATTTAATAAATGACTCTCCGAGGCTGAGTTTGAGCCTTCCCCATTGGAGTGGTTGTATTTCCTAGGGTTTCAGGGGAGCTGCTGATCCCAGGCCTGGCCTCCTGGAGAATTCCATCCCCTGGTACCTCAGTTCAGGCTCAGATCTCACTTCCCTGTCCCACTAAAGCAGCCAGAGCCCTTGACATGCTCTTCCATAGGGCTGGATGGTTTTCTGTTCCTTTTAGTCCTTCCAGTTCCTGCCCTCCTAGGCCAGCTGCAGCCTGCACGAGAGCTGTGCTCCCCTGGCACCAGGCCATCATCCCAGGGATCCCCTGCTCCTTCCAGGAAGAGCCATCCTTAGAGGGACGTGCCTTGGAGCAGAGCTGGCCCCGTGTCCTGGCATTGTTTGGAGAGACCTCTCACATTTTAATTCACCTCTTTTTCATTCCTTTTTGTCTGTCGTGCTCTCCCCAGGGCGACCTCAGCGAACTGGGGAAGGTATTGATGCAGGGATCTTTCAGTGTTTGGGCAGGACACCGAAAAGGGCCCACAAAGATGAAGGATCTGGCCAGGTTCAAGCCCATGCAGAGGCACCTGTTCCTGTATGAGAAAGCCTTGGTCTTCTGCAAGAAGAGAGAGGAGCATGGAGATGGATATGACAAAACCTCATCTTACAGCTTTAAGCACTTTCTGAAAGTAAGGGGTCCTATTTTTGTTATGAACCTTAGGGTGTTTTACACAGCCATGTATGCTGCAGAGCAGTAATTCTGCAGAGCCAGGGGCTTTTTCTCTGACATGGGGTTTGTTTTCTGCTGCTGAGGGCTGTGGTGCCCCACAGGGATGTGCAGTGATCCAACAGCTGACAGTAAATCCTGGCTGGGGGAGGAAATGGAATTTTCAAATCCACTAACCTGGATGAACAGACCTTAAATCTGTCTCTTCCTGGCACTTGTTCTGGGCATCATCATGGTAGATCATCTAAAATGTCTAATGTCTTGATGCCTGGGCAGTTTTGTAGGAGCTTCTATAAATTGCTGAGGTAAACAAGGTGCACAGAACTGGGAATTGCAGTGCCTCTGTGGATGAGGCTCTCCAGGCTGCTCTTCCAACAGCTTTCATCAATTTTAAGTTTTTATAAAACCAAACTGGAGCCTCTTCCAGCTTTCTAAAGGGGAAATGGCCTCAAGCTGTGCCAGGAGGTTCAGCTGGGGTATGAGGAGTGGGCAGCCCTGGCACAGCTGCCCAGGGCAGGGGGTCCCCATCCCTGGAGGGGTTTAAAGCCCCGTGCCTGTGGCACTTGGGGACAGGCTCAGCGTGGCCTTGGCAGTGTAGGGTCAGTGGTTGGACTCGATGGTCTCGGGGTCTGTTCCAGCCCCAGTTTCTGTGCTGTCAGGGGCAGCTTGGTGCCTGCTCCTGTCACTGGAAAGGGGCACCACCACGGGAATCCCTTGGAGCAGAGCATTTGTCCATGGCACCTGTGCTGTAAATCATCCAGGGCTTTCAGACCTGGGCACGCACGCATTGTCAGGAGGAACAGCCCTGGTGAACAGATGTTATTTCTAAGGGTTTGTTTGTGTTTATAGTGGATTTGTCTGATCCAGTCTGCGTGAATAATTTATGATAGATGATACCTTTATTATTACATCTGTTCCAAGACATGCAAGTGGGATACTGGAGCTATTTCTGGCCATCCCTTAATCAGTGAATCATTGCCAGCAAGCCCTGCCTTGAGGGAGAGGATGGTTCATGTGCTGTCAGGTACTACAGCAGCTTTCAGCTTCATGGCCTGCTCAGGAGGGAGGGCAGAGCTCTCCTGTTGCTGAAGAGTTTCTTGTGTCTAATCACGGTTTGAGCTTGGTTCAGGTGGGTCACACTGGGCAGGTCCTGAAGGATTTGGGCCTTTGGTGTTTCATCCAAACTGTCAGAAGTGGATGGGGATGATGAGTAAAGCAGCATTCAGCTGCAAGCCAGGCTTGGGGCATCCCAAAAATTAACCCTGCTTTTGGAAAGAAATCATCTGTGTGGATAAATAATGTGTATTATAACATGTAACATATTTACAAAATAACATGTATTATCATATGCCAAATCTGAGACATTCTGTGCAGAAAGAGGCAGCTGAGATGATGCTTCAGTTGGTTCCACTGGTTCCCAAATGAAGTTCCCAAAGGTCCATTGATTTGTTTTGGAAAGCTCATCCAAAATGCAGCTGATAGGAAGTCAGGAGGAATGGGACAGATAATGACTTCCAACTGCTGTGTAAATTGAAATTGATGAAATATGTTAAATTCAGTGCAAACAGGTTTCACTTGCTGCCAGTGTCTGCATTCCTGGGTGTGTTTAATTTTCTGTTTGTTTGGATTTGCAGATGAATGCAGTTGGGATAACCGAGAATGTGAAAGGCGACCATCGGAAATTTGAGATCTGGTACAGTGGCAGAGAGGAGGTGTACGTGGTGCAGGTTTGTCCCTTCAGAATCTGGGTATTTGCACATCCTCAGAGCTGTGGGAAGAAAATGTCCCATTGATCTTCCTGCTTGTAGTGATAGCTCTACAACTGCCACTGTGCCTTGCCTGGATCTAATGGGAATCATCAATTTTAAAAGATCAAGAGTGTTTAAAATTTAGTAGTAGCTTTGGGGGAAAAGGGGATTTCAGATAATTACAGCATAGAAAAGTAAGATTTCTTTCCTACATTATAATGGATGACTCTTAATTCAAAATTCAGACAATTTTCTCTTCTTCCAGGCCCAAACAGTAGATCTGAAGATGGCATGGCTGAATGAAATAAGAAAAATTTTGTTCAAGCAGCAAGAGCTTATAAAAGGTACATTTGCTCAATTTCTCTGTGGCTTTCATTCTGCAGCAGAAGCTTTCCTATTGGCACATTGCTGATCTTCAAGTCCACTAATTCTCTCTGGAGAATTAATTTTTAGAGCCTGGTAACAAAATGCTGGAGTGAGGCCTTACATTGTAGGGAAATAACAGAACTTGAGGCAGTAAAAACTGGGTGCTCGTGTGAAAATGAATCACAGAAGTACATTTTTTGGTTGTCATTACCTTGGGCATTATTTCCCATTTGTTATAGGTTTAATGCAACAAGATCCAAACCAGGTGCCTAACTGGGAGCATCTCATGGTGCTGCTCAGTGTTGGGTTTGTGCTAACATGCCACCTTAATCATAATTGACTCTGTGCTTTCCAAGAGCCCATAGGTCTGTTTTCCTCTGAACAGAGGCCACTGGGGTTGTACAAAAGGTGTCATTTTTAAAGCAATGATTCAAGTGTGGCAGCTGCAGTGGAGAGCTGGATTTGAATCTGTGCTTGCCCTTGCAGCAGGGGAGAAGCAGCAGCCTGGCTCGTGCTCGGAGCAGCTCCCACTCTCCTCCCAGCTGGGGGACAGGTGAGTGCTGGCCTGGCCTGGCCTGGGCTGGGCTGGGTGCCCTCCCATCGGGGAGCACCTCCCTGAGCCTGCTGCTGGCCCTGGCCCTGTCCCTGTCCTGGGGAGGGACAGCAGGGGTGTGCTGTTCCTGTCCCTGTCCTGGGGAGGGACAGCAGGGGTGTGCTGCTGCTGGCCCTGTCCCTGTGTCTGTGTCTGTCCTGGAGAGGGGACAGCAGGGGTGTGCTGCTGCTGGCCCTGTCCTGGGGAGGGACAGCAGGGGTGTGCTGCTGCTGGCCCTGGGCCTGTGTCTGTCCTGGGGAGGGACAGCAGGGGTGTGCTGCTGCTGGCCCTGGGCCTGTCCCTGTCCTAGGGAGGGACAGCAGGGGTGTGCTGCTGCTCACCCTTGGTGCCCATGGCCTGAGGACAGGTTCTGCAGGGACACCCTTGAGCCTGGCAGCTCAGCCTGAGCTGCAGCCCCTCTGCAGATGGAGCAGAGCAGAGACAGGGCTCTCATTCAGGGCAGAGACACTGCAGCAGCTTCATTCCCCTCCCAAAAAGATTGGGAACTGGGCACTAAGTCCTTAATCTTCACAGAAACCCACACTGAGAGGTCAAACCTACACTGAGGGCTGCCAGGATTGTTTCTGGCCCTGTTTGACAAACCCTCGTGGGGTTGGTGCTCACTGGGGAAGTAAAGCTGGGCCTGGTTCTGTTCTCTTGCCCCCTCAGGAAGCAGCAGAGAGCCTCCATCAGCTCGGAGGAGAACGACTCGGAGCGCACCAGCCCGGTGCTGCTGTCCCCCCAGAACAAGCCCCACAGAGGTAGGGCCCCTTTCCACTCCCCTCGGGGCCTCCCTGGGGCTGCTGGGCCCAGGCTGAGCCGCGGGTGTGTTGCAGGCTGGCCGGGAATGTCCCAGTCCCTGGAGATCTGCGAGGGGCTGGAGGAGTGGGCGGGCCAGCAGGAGCTGTCCAACTGCTCGGACACCGAGGAGGAGGAGGGCACCCAGCTGGTAGGTGGTGGGGATCCTGGGGCTTCCTCTGCCTGTTCCCCTCACTGATAACGCTTGTGTCTTGGCCATGTCCCTCAGAAATTCCATACCTCGGTGTGGGCAATGAGAAGATGTCTCAGACAGAGTTTCTTGAATAATCCTGATTCAGGTGGCTGGCAGGGCTCTGCCACGTTCCCTGCAGCAATCAGACTCACAGCTGCATGATATGAAATGCAGCTAAATAATAATGCAAGCTTTTCTCTCTGCCACAGTCTCCAGGAAAGTACAAAGCCCTTGCAGACTGCAAGAGGAGGGGATCAGAGGACCTGCTGGTGAAAAACGGGGATGAAATTCAGCTCTTGCATGAAGATGGTGAGGGACAGTGGTAGGTATTTCAGGATGACTTTGCCTTATCTCCAGGAGCCTGCAGGGCAGTCCCTTGAAATGTCACTTGCCTGGTGATACACTGACTGCAGCTCCTGGCTGAGCTTTAGGCCATTCCAGAAAGTGGAGAATTCACTCTCCTGCCAAGACCAGACCCATCCCCACTGGCATGGCCTGGGGAAATGAGTCAGGACTCCCCTGGCCATGGGTCTCTGCCTGAGCTGGGTTTCCCCAACACCTTCTCAGCCCCTCTTGCCATGCTGTCCCCACTTCAGATGGTGCTTCCCTCTGTCCATCCCAGCTCAGCTCCAGGCTGTGTCCCTCTGGGGTTACTGACAGCCACAGTGAGTGACTGCAGGGTGTTTGCCTCCCTCAGACAGCTGTAGGAGGGTTCCCTACACTGGGGATGGCTGCAGACTGTTTCTGCTGTGTGTAAAGCTGCAAAGGCTCACAGAGGAACACCTCAGAGCTGCCTCCCTTCTGGGGCTGGGAGGATCCCTGGGAACCCCCCTGGGGCTGCTGGACCCTCCTGAGGCTCACAGCAGTTTGGCTGAGGGTTCTGGCTCTTCCCTTTCCAGGATGGTTCTGAGCAGCTCTCAGCCAGCCCAAGGGAGCCCAGTGTGCCAAAGTCCTGTTTGGGGTGTGGGAAGGGTGATGCTGGCAGGAACCTGGGTCAGGTTTGTGCAGGATGCACAGATGTCAATGCCCTGTGCAGGATTCCTGGCTGAGAGCTGCAGCCCCTGCACTTCAAGGGAAATCAGAACAGGATAAAATAGAATATTTCAATTGCAAGGGATCTGCAAGGATCATCTACTCCCAGTGCATTTTGAAGAATTCAGTCTGTTGTTACCAAAGCAGATGCAAAGCACCTCAGGTTTGCTGAAAGTTCACCTCTCCTGGGGGCTGTAGCCAGCACCAGTCAGAGATTTCTCACACCAAGCTTTCTGTTAGCACAAATTTCACTGCATGAGTGGGACAGAGGGTTGTCACTTATGAGCATGAGTATTTCCAGCTGCCTAAAGCTTGGCTTGAATTTACTTACAGTACCCTGGCTAAAATCATCCTACCAGTCTAAATGGCAGAGGAGTGAGAAAAATAATTGCCCTTAACTCCTTCAGTAGCCAGTTTCCCTGAGCTGGCATCTCTCAGGGTGACTTGAGAGGGAGTCCTGTTCTTCTCCATTGTCTACAGAGGTGTAGGCTTTTAAGTGAGGTTCCTAAATTGAGGTGGGAGGAATGCTTTAAGCACATGGCCAGGCCCTGTTAAAATGCTTCCCTGCCTGGGGCAAACTGCTGCTTGCAGCCCCAGCTGTGTGCCTCACCAAGCTGCTTTGGGTGGGTTGGCTTCTGTTCCTAATGCTGCTGTCGTCCCAAGGCTGGTGAAGAACCTCAACAGAAGAAAAGAAGGCTGGATCCCCGTGCACAGCCTGCAGATTGTAGTCGGGGACTGCAGGTTTCGGAATGCCAAAGTCGCAGGTATTTGATAGCACGCCTAGCAGAAATATCCCATAGCTCAAACTGGGTCTTTTAAGCCATTTGCATTACACTTGATCTACTAAATCTGGCTGCTTATGCCTCTGCTGGAAAAATAGGAAAGCAAGCAGCTATTCCAAAAAGCCTGCAAAAGTAGTAAATTAAGCTTTTTTGGTTTGTTTATTTTAAGATGTTTCTGAGACTTTAGGCACGAGTAAATTAAAACCAAGCATTTAAAAACGTAGATTTCATTGCAAGAGCACTGGGTAGAAGACCGGGGAGAAGAGACGGAGTCTGACCAGGGATTCCAGGACTGTTTTCCTCCTCCCTGCTGTAGCTCACAGCCTCCTGTGGGAGCAGGAGGTACCTAAGCCAAATCTCCTCCTGCTGCTGCTGCTAAGGACACCGTGGCCTGACCCCAGCACTCTAAGGCAACACTTCCTCCCTGCTGCCTCACTCCTGCCCTCACTGCTGCCTGCTGGTTCCTCCACCCTTAGAGAAAGCTCATTATAAACAGGTTTCAGCCAAAGGCTTGGAGTTCTCATTTTCTAGCTGTAACTGTACATAGCAATAGACAGGGAAGCATAAGAGATGACACAAGAAAATGCCTTAAGAGCAGCCTGTTGCCCTTGCCATGTCACTGCTCCATGTGTTGCCTCATCACCACACTGTCCTCTGAAATGGGATGCCAGGGCTGGAGATGGAACAGCTCAGGAAGCCTACAGAGACTTAGTCCATTAAAAAAAAATTAAAATTACTAGCTATAACTGTATGAAGCAAATCTTGCAAGGAGATTTCTCTTTAAATAATTCTTTCTGCCAGAATACATTTTTTGATGAAGGTGAAGGAAGCCATCTGAGAGGCTCAGAATTCCAGTCAGCTCTTGATGGTTTTTTGGTGTATTTCAGTGAAATCCTTCCTATACAGGAAGGTATTTTTATCCCCTTTGTTGCAGGGCAGTCAAATCTCACCGGCTGAAGGTTTGCTGATTTTCTGTAAGGGGTGGTTTGCTAACCACTGTTCAGAGTTTACTGGCACCCTGCAGTTAGGGCTCCCTTGATCTTCTCTCCATGTGTACCTACCCCATCTCACCAGGTCCTATGCAGAAGGGTTTTCCATCTGAGGATGCATTTCAAAAAAGGTGCTGGGAAACTTTGAACCCTGGTTTGCATTGTCAGTGGTCATAACCCCAAAAACCTAGAGACTGTCAGCTCTGGACTGGTTTATAAAGTTGCTGAGTACAAAGTGAGGGGAATTGCACAGAAAATGCCTCCTGTGGGTCCCACCCCCCTGCCCAGGTACTCCTGAGCCCTGTCCCAGGCTCTGAGAGCACTGGGGCTCTGTTTTCCCTGTGGGGGTAACTGTTCTGTTTGCTGCTTCTGATGGTGCCTGCAGTCCCAAGGCAGGATTCTAACCTTACACATACCAGGAACCACTGGGGGATGATGGAGGATGTCCTCTTGCCATTTCCTAGAGCTATCCCTAGAGCTTCCCAGCACTGTGTCCTTACAGCCATAAACAACTTGCACTCTGAAAATTGATTTTCATGCAGTTCTTCTGCACTCAGCAATTGCCTTTACCCTGGGCTGGTCCCTTCACCCTGCAGCGACTCTGGGCTGTCTGGGCTGGGCTCTTTCCTGCTGTTTCAGGAGATGGAGCTCTTGCTCCAGTCAGCAGAGGAGATGAGGCAGCCGGGCTGGTGGAGCCAGGCAGGGGCAGGAGCAGCCCCAGATCCCTCCCTGAGCTGCTGCTTTGCCTGCCAGCAATGTAAACTGGATTAACACTGTGGGACCCCGGGGACTGCTGGGGGAGAGGCACTTCTGGCAGTTGTGGGGGCACTGCCTGTCTTACTGCTCAGCTCCAGCTTCCCCTAATTAAAACTCTCTGGCCAGTCACAGAATTTCACAGCAGAATTCACACAAATCTGGGGTTTGGGATGTTTTTCAGGGCAAAGCCTTTAGCTGAATAGAATAAATGGTTGCCTTGCCTTCACATTTCTCCTTGGATTTATCCTGTGGCCCACCACAGGATGGCTGATACCTGCATGTCCACAAGCTGTTCCTCTCCCCTCCTGCTAATGATTCCAGAGTTGAGCCAATACAGATCATCATGAGGTTACAGGGAACTCTTTGCTGTCCATTTTAAGTTAGCAGAGGGGTATTTGGTCAATGCTTCATTTCCCAGCTTTGCAAATCCATGGTCCTCTTGTAAATCTTGGCCTGGATATGAGCCATGAGTTCTCTGGGAGGAAGGTGGCTGGCTTGGAGATCATTTTGGAAATGAGTTTTCCTTCTGCTGTGCCTCCAGCTGTAAGTTCTGAGATTAGTCCTTGCTGCTTTCTTCCAGACAGATTTATTCTCTCTGCTGTGCAAACACATGGTGGATTTCTTTAATGTGCATGATGAAGGAGCAGTTTTGTATTGCAGGTGGTAACATGCAGAGCTCAAAATGAAAAATATTTGGAGAGGACTGAGCTCAGAAAGAGCAATACTCAGAATGTGGCTGCTGCTGAGGCTCACCCATGTGTTGGTGATTGCAGCTGCCTTGCAGGTGGCCATTGCCTTTTCCATGAATTAACACGGGGATGCAAGATTGTCTCCTCATGTCAGGGAAGGCTGGGGCTCCAGCATTACAATCCCAACTCCCCTTGTGCACAGGAGCAGGAGACAAAGCATTTCTGCATGTGCCTTGGTGGGCAGTGTGCCAGGGTCACAGAGGGCAGCACGGGCAGCTCTGTGCCAGCCAGGAGGAGGCTCTCACCTCTCAGCTGCACTGCAGGCCTTGGAACCAGGTTCCTTTTGAACTCTCGCCCTGCCCGAGCCATTCTGGTGATTTAAGGTGGGCACAGGCTCCTGTTCCACATGCCAGACCCTCTCCTAGTTTATTTAACATCCTGCTTGCCAAATGCTCTCCTCCAAGCCTCAGGGGGATCCCCTGTGCCTGCTCTCCATGCCATAAAGCTGAGCAGAGTTCCCCCCTTGGGCAGGGCCTGAAGGACTGAGATTGCATGTCCTGTGTCCCTTGGGCAGGGCACTGGGATTGTCCTGTGTCCCCTGGGCACTGGGATTGTCCTGTGTCCCCTGGGCAGGGCACTGGGATTGTCCTGTGTCCCCAGGGCACTGGGATTGTCCTGTGTCCCCTGGGCACTGGGATTGTCCTGTGCCCCTTGGGCAGGGCACTGAGATTGTCCTGTGTCCCTGCTGGACAATGCCTGGGGATTGTCCTGTGTCCCCTGGGCAGGGCACTGGGATTGTGCTGTGTCCCTGCTGGGCACTGGGATTGTCCTGTGTCCCTGTTGGACAATGCCTGGGGATTGTCCTGTGTCCCCTGGGCAGGGCACTGGGATTGTCCTGTGTCCCTGTTGGACAATGCCTGGGGATTGTCCTGTGTCCCCTGGGCACTGGGATTGTCCTGTGTCCCCTGGGCACTGGGATTGTCCTGTGTCCCCTGGGCAGGGCACTGGGATTGTCCTGTGTCCCTGTTGGGCAGGGCTCTGGGATTGTCCTGTGTCCCTGTTGGACAGGGCACTGGGATTGTGCTGTGTCCCTGTTGGGCAGGGCTCTGGGATTGTCCTGTGTCCCTGTTGGACAGGGCACTGGGATTGTGCTGTGTCCCTGTTGGGCAGGGCACTGGGATTGTCCTGTGTCCCTGTTGGGCACTGGGATTGTCCTGTGTCCCTGTTGGGCAGGGCACTGGGATTGTCCTGTGTCCCCTGGACAGGGCACTGGGATTGTCCTGTGCCCCTTGGGCAGGGCACTGGGATTGTCCTGTGTCCCTGTTGGGCAGGGCTCTGGGATTGTCCTGTGTCCCCTGGACAGGGCACTGGGATTGTCCTGTGTCCCTGTTGGGCACTGGGATTGTCCTGTGTCCCTGTTGGGCAGGGCTCTGGGATTGTCCTGTGTCCCCTGGACAGGGCTCTGGGATTGTCCTGTGTCCCTTGGGCACTGGGATTGTGCTGTGTCCCTGTTGGGCAGGGCACTGGGATTGTCCTGTGTCCCTGCTGGACAATGCCTGGGGATTGTCCTGTGTGCCCTGGCCAATCTCTGGGGATCTCTGTGCCCTTGGCCACTCTGCTCCTCCCTGGGCAGCTGTTCCTGTGTGTTGCTGGAGCTTTGGCAGGCTGCTGTGCCACGTTGGCTGGAAGGTGCCACCACAGCTGGCAGCTGCAGCACAGCTCCTTCCCTGCCCCTCTCACCCTCAGTGACTGCAGCCACAGGCTCTTGTGTCCACTCAGGGTCCCTTAGAGGCAATGCTGATATTTTTTTTTTAGCCTTTGAAGCATAAAGCAGGGTCTCTCCTCCCCCCTGCAGCTCTTTAGTAACCCAGAAACCATCTCCAGCCTGACAAAATAAAGAGCCTGGAGAAGATTTCAGCTGGCCTTGCTGTGATAATGAAGTGATAGATGATGGAAATGACTCAAACCCTGTGGTCCTGCCTTAGTCAAGGCTCTCACTGAAGCCAGTGGGAGTTCAGCTTTTAGGGAGAAATGCAGGAGTGCATTTATTTTTTTTTCTGTTATACAAATGTTACATGATTACGGGGAACAATGTCTGTCTTGGAATAAGATGCTTTAATATTAACACCATTCTCCATTACTTTATAGATGCTGCCCTGTGTAACACCAGAAAGTTTAGTTCCCCTTGAATTGAGGGTGAACTAGCAGCATCCATTTCCGATGCTCTTTGGAGGCTCTCAGCTCAGTGTTACAGAGAAATAGCACAGTAGTTGGAGCTGTCCTGTCCTGTTCATCACATTCACAGACTCCACAGCCTCATCTGCACTGAGTGGGACCGGGGTCCTAAGCAGCTTCTCATGCTCATAAAGGAAGCCATTCTCTGCTCTTTGGTTTTTTTTGCCTGTGGAAATTGTGGTATTTTATTCATTTTTCCTGCTGTTTTTCCATGACATACATCATGTTTCATCAGAGAAGTACACTACAGTTTCCTGACACTTTGTTTAGATGCTTGAAATCTCCTCTGCAGGTTGAAGTAGGTTTTGCCTACTTACTAGCTGACAACTGTTGAAGATGCAAACGAGAGTTGAGTTTTGGTAAACCAAAAAGAAAAAAAAAAAAACCAAACCAAGAAGCTGTATGTCCTGCTTAATTGATTTTATGGGTGGATTTTTCTTCAATATCTGCTTCAGCTATGTGAATGTAATGTTCTGTAGGAGCATCATCTGGCTGACTCCACGTGAGGAAGCAATAACACAAAGATCCTCTTTTTGCACTTAGGGTCTGACTCCAGCCCACTGCAGTCAGCCTCCCTGACTTCAGTGAGGTCTGGGTCAGGTCAGACTGACACCTCAGGGTTGTCACCGATCACTTAGGGTCCCAAAGCGTCCCAGGGCTGAAACCTGTATCTAGCAAGTGTTGAAGTTTACATTAATGTAGGTACCTTTGGAACACGTGCCATAAATCCAAGCTAAATGTCCATGTTTGCACTAAGGATGTTCTTGTGATAAGACTTTTTCAGCATCTTTAACAATAATGTATCTATTGAATTTTTGAGAAGGGAAAAAGAATGTTGGAGACTGATAATTTAATTTTGTGTTTCTTTGTCTAGTTTTGCTTTTGTAGAACATAGGTTGGTACAGGTGGTTTGAACTTTGAAGCAGCTGTGTGCAAAGAGCACCTGAGTGTGTGGAGAGCAGGGTTAATGGTGTGCATGCAGTAGTGAGTTTGCTCTGCCCCAGCCAAAGGAAATGTTTATTCCATGGACTAAAGGGGGACCTTTATGATCTGAGTTTGATTTGTGAGCTGGCCCTTGGACAGTCCCAGGTTAAGTCAGAGCGTGCTGGGTTTGTTTAGTGCCTGTTGCTGTGTGGAGCAGTTGCTGAGCTGCTGGCTGGGCTGGCCTGGGGCTCCCAGCCCCCAGTGGCTGCTCCTGCAGGACTGGGTGAGCCCTGAGCCCCTCAGAGCCGGGACCAGCTGAGCCTGAGCTGAGCAGCACCAGAGCCCAGCCCGGGCCCTTCACTGGAGCCACAGTGCAGAGCTGTGCAGCCACTGAAGGCTCTGTTCCTCTGCTTCCAAATCAATCACAATGCACTAATGAGGTGGGGAAGTCTTAATTACTGTTGGGGCTCTTTATAGTGGTTACAATTCTTGTGGTAACAATACACATTTTGAGGTACAATGTAAATATTTGTCTGAAACATAGCACACATGGCATATTGAATGATTTTAATCTTTTTTGTCTTCCATAGTTTTAAATCTAAGCTTTTATTAATTTATGAGGTTGATAAGTTCTGCAAATCTGAATGTACAGTCTGAGGTTTTTAACGTTTGAAACTTTGCACACATGGTATGTTCCCCTGAGTATGCTGTTGAACTAGGCTCTCCATGTATATGTATAAATTACAGTAGAGAATTTTCTCTGACTGCAAGTTTAAATGAACTATATTGTATATGTACCTGTAAAAATGTGTTAAATCTATATTTAAAGATTAAAACTTGTTAAATAAATCCATCTGAGAATATGCTATTCTGTTCAAATACACATCTGCTATAATTCCAGAGGGGAAAAAAAAGTGCTCACAGTGTTGGTTTTATTTCATTTCCTTGGAAAAACTTAAAACCTTCTTACATGCATTTTGATGTTAAGGTAAGCAGTGGCAGATGATCCAATTAATTTCTTGCTGGATGCAGTGGCAATGAGAGTGGGAGAGGCACCTTAGCACTCATACTGAAGTCTGAAAGAGCAGCTGCTGCCAGCCTGCCCTGGCTCAGGGTGTCCCCAGTGTCCCCTGGCTCCATCCCAGCAGGGTCAGGGTGTCCCCAATGTCCCCTGCCTCCATCCCAGCAGGGTCAGGGTGTCCCCAGTGTCCCCTGGCTCCATCCTGGCAGGCTCAGGGTGTCCCCAGTGTCCCCTGGCTCCATCCCAGCAGGGTCAGGGTGTCCCCAGTGTCCCCTGGCTCCATCCCAGCAGGGTCAGGGTGTCCCCAGTGTCCCCTGTATCAATCCCAGCAGGGTCAGGGTGTCCCCAGTGTCCCCTGTATCAATCCCAGCAGGGTCAGGGTGTCCCCAGTGTCCCCTGGTTCCATCCCAGCAGGGTCAGGGTGTCCCCAGTGTCCCCTGGTTCCATCCCAGCAGGGTCAGGGTGTCCCCAGTGTCCCCTGGCTCCATCCCAGCAGGGTCAGGGTGTCCCCAGTGTCCCCTGGCTCCATCCCAGCAGGGTCAGGGTGTCCCCAGTGTCCCCTGGCTCCATCCCAGCAGGGTCAGGGTGTCCCCAGTGTCCCCTGGCTCCATCCCAGCAGGGTCAGGGTGTCCCCAGTGTCCCCTGTATCAATCCCAGCAGGGTCAGGGTGTCCCCAGTGTCCCCTGCCTCCATCCCAGCAGGGTCAGGGTGTCCCCAGTGTCCCCTGGTTCCATCCCAGCAGGGTCAGGGTGTCCCCAGTGTCCCCTGGTTCCATCCCAGCAGGGTCAGGGTGTCCCCAGCCTCTCCTCCATGTGAAAAGCTCTGTTTGGGAGCCCTGTGGCTGCACTGCTCTGTGGGTTCCCCTCCCTCGTGGGCTCCTGGGGTGCTGCTGGGGCACCGGTGCCTGCTGGGCGTCCCTTGCCCACGCTGCTTGTGCCAGCTGTGGGCAGTGCCGGTGCCACAGTGGCCTGGGACATGTGTGATCCATCCCCCTGCTGATCCACCAACCTCTTCATTCAGGATTTGGGGACTCACCCCACCCCAGCAGCGGCAGTGCATTCAGAAATGCAGCTGTGGGTCATTAGAGGCCTTTTTATTTCCTTATTACCACATTTTCATCGCATTCTCTCAACTTCAGCCTTCCAAGAGCAGAAGTTATTTGATCCAGAAACGTTTATTGAAATGCCACGATCTCTCCAAGCCACGGGCATTGCAGTGGTCCCTCTGCACGCCCCCAGTCCACCCTCCGGCGTGGAGCAGCCTCCCCAGCAGGGCACCGTGCTCCTCCCCGGGCTCAGGGGAGCCTCGTGGTTTGCTTGATCCACTTGACGTACTTGGAGACCCTGGTGTAGATGCCGTACTTGCCGGGCAGGGCGCACTCCTCGCCCCAGCTGGTGATGCCCGTCAGGAACCAGGTGCCCTCGATCTCGGTGGTGTAGGGCCCGCCGCTGTCCCCCTCGCACGTGTCCCTGCCCCCGCTGGGGAACCCCGCGCAGAACATGTTCTGCAGGATGCTGGTGGAGGTGCTCTTCAGGCAGGTGGGCCGGTCCACGAAGGGCACCCTGAGCACCTGCAGCGTGGTGGCCGTGCGGCCGCGGAACAGCACCTTGCCCCAGCCGCTGACGGTGCCCACGCCCTGCTTCAGGAGGGCATTGGTGAACTCGCGGCTGCCCAGGCACACGGGGGTCACGTAGCTGCTGAAGGTGAGCGGCTGGTCCAGCTCCAGCAGGGCGATGTCGTTGTGGTACTCGTTGATGGAGGCGTTGTAGGTGGGGTGGGGCAGCAGCCTCACCACCTTGCGCAGCTGCTCCGTGTGGTCGTCGCTCCTGACGTCGTGTTCACCTGCACAGAGCAGCGGGGCCGGGCAGCACCAGGGACTGTGCCCTGCTGGAGCCACTCCAGCCTGGCCCAGAGCCTGCACCAGGGACTGTGCCCTGCTGGAGCCAACCAGTGCCACTCCAGCCTGGCCCAGAGGCTGCACCAGGGACTGTGCCCTGCTGGTGTCAGCCCTGTGCCACTCCAACCCGGCCCAGAGGCTGCACCAGGGATTGTGCCCTGCTGGAGCCACTCCAGCCCAGCCCAGAGGCTGCAGAGGGCTGAGCCCTCAGGTGCCTCTGAAGCTGGTCTGGCCAGGCTGCTGGCTCCTTGTCAGAGGCACCTGCAGGTTCTCTCCCATCTCAGGCCCCCAGCACTACCCAGGCGTGACACTGGGCACCCATCATCCAGCCAGGCACCAAAGATGCAGGTGCTTTTGCCAGGGTTAGCAGCAAAGTGGCTGTTCTGGGGATTTAGCACCCACAGAGAGAGGTGAGGGGATGTCACCCTTGCAGCAAAGGGGGCAGAACTCGCTGATGAAAAATACTGGTCTAAAATAAATAATGTATTAATGAAAAGAAACCTTAACCTCCCCTTTCTCGACCCCCAGAGCCACGGGGCAGGATGGGGTGCGGGAGGGCAGCGGTGCCACCGCTGATGCTCACAGGTGCCCCTGAGCCAGCCCGAGGCTCAGCTGCTCTCGGCCTCTGCCGGCACCTGCGGGATGCCGGGATCCCGGTGCCGGTACCGGCAGCTGCGGGATGCTGTGATCCCGGTACCGGCAGTTGCGGGATGCTGTGATCCCGGTACCGGCAACTGCGGGATGCTGTGATCCCGGTATCGGCAGCTGCGGGATGCTGTGACCCCGGTACCGGTACCGGTACCTGCAGGATGCTGTGATCCCGGGGCCGGCAGCTGCGGGATGCTGTGATCCCGGTATCGGCAGTTGCGGGATGCTGTGATCACGGTACCGGTACCGGCAGCTGCGGGATGCTGGGATCCCGATACCGGCAGCTGCGGGATGCTGTGATCCCGGTACCGGCAGCTGCGGGATGCTGTGATCCCGGGGCCGGTACCTGCGGGATGCTGTGATCCCGGTATCGGCAGTTGCGGGATGCTGTGATCCCGGTATCGGTACCGGCAGCTGCGGGATGCTGTGATCCCGGTATCGGTACCGGTACCTGCGGGATGCTGTGATCGCGGTACCGGCAGCTGCGGGATGCTGTGATCCCGGGGCCGGTGCCGGTACCTGCGGGATGCTCTGATCCCGGTATCGGTACCGGCAGCTGCGGGATGCTGTGACCCCGGTGCCGGCGGCTGCGGGATCACAGGTGCCATAGCATCCTGCGGTGCGCGATGCTGTGATCGCGGTGCCCGCAGCCCGTTCCCCCGCCGTGTGTAACAGGTGGGGAGGGCAGGGCAGAGCTCAGGTGGGCGAGGGGGCAGCCCCTGGGGCCGCATCCCCCGCAGCATGAGCAGCGTTAAGGATGGGTTTTGCCGGGCGCCGTGCGGCAGCCCCCGGGCGGTTCGGGCCGTGCTGCGGGGGTTTTGCTGGGCTCTGCTGGCCCTGCCGGGCTCTCCGGAACCGGCGGCACCGAGCAGCACCTGCGGAGCCGGCCTGAGGTGAGCGGGTGCTGCGGGCTCGGCGGGGGCTCTGTGGGCACGGGGGGAATGGAGCTCCCAGCTCCCAGGCTGCTCCTGCAGCCCAAACGCGGGGGAGATTCTCGGCTGGCTTTTCTTACCTTAGAGATGCTGGCTATTGCTGGGGACACGAATATGTGATTCAGGGCTGAAAGTGGAGGAGCAAAGAAGCCTAGGGAGGGGAATGCTTCTTCCACCGGGCTTTAAAGCCGGCTGGATGAGCCTCTGGCTCAGGTGGGCTCGCCCGTGGCCAGGCTGATCTGTGCTCACGCTGTGGCTGTGGGACCAAGGCAGACCAGGCTCACTGCCCCTGCCAGAGATGGTGGCACCTGCAGGACCAGGCTGGTGAAGCGTTGTAAGTCCAGCTGGGCCTCTGTGCCCCCAGCAGCTCGAGTCAGACCCCACAGCAGCTCATGTCCTGCTGCTGCTGCCCCTCAGTGTGCTCAGAGCCCTGTGCCCTGCCTTGCCCAGCCCCGTGCCCATCCCTCCCCTCGTGCCCAGGCGCTCACCTGCCACAGCAGTGAGGTTGTGGGTGTAGCCTGGCTTCAGGCAGTGTGCTGCTGTCACCAGCCACTTCTCGTTGATGATGGTGGCGCCGCAGAAGCCCACGCCTTGGCTGTTCACCAGCAGAACCTGTGGGAGCAGGGCACATCACACTCGGGGGTTTCTGTAAGCCTGGACCAGTGGAAGGTGGCCCTGGAACTGGCAGGGGGTTGGAACTGGCTGATCTTTAAGGTTCCTTCCAACCCAAACTGTTGGGTGATTCTATGATCTGCAGCAACCGATGGAGCCAAAAAATGAGTTGCATTGCTCCTTGCAAAACTCCCTTCCCTCAGCCTTCAGCTTACTTTGGGTACATTCATGGACTACAGGGCAATCTCTTGGTGTAGCTCGACCCTTTGTGCCCCACTGGGTAAAGCTGCTGTGACTCTGACTTGTGGCTTTCTTTGCCAGAGGAGAGCCCCGTGCAGGCAAGTTTTGTTGCTGTGGCATAAAACTGTGTATGGAAAGAAGCTGTGCCCCTGCTAGGCCTGGACTGTTGCCAGCCTAACCCCAGAGACAGGCTGTGGGTGTTTAAAGGCAGGATGCTCTGTGCTCAGGAGGGCCTGCTGGGGTCCCAGAAGGTTTGCAAAGGTCGGTACCTGCCAGGGCACCTCTCCCTTCATGCTGTCCGAGCCGCCGACGACGCGCGTGCCCGTCCTGAGCACGGGGGTGATCCTGGCGGGGGCTGCGGTGCTGCTCTCCGTGGCGTTGTCCTGCCCCTCCTCAGGGCCATCCTCGGGCTCCTCACCCGTGCTGTTCCAGTGCTCAAAGGTGTTCATGGAGCGGGTCAGCTTCCTCCTGGCCTCGGGAGCCGTGATCCTCCCGCAGG